GGCAGAGGTAGAAAGATTCTTAATAGGTGAAGGAATCAAAAATTATCGGGGATAAATGGGAATGTGGAATTCAAAACACAAACACATCAGCCATAATCTTATTGAATGGTGGAACAGGCTTGTTGGGCTCCTAATCTGTGTGTTTGTATGGTCATAATTGAATGATAGCTCTTTTTTAATTGCAAGCTATTAAATCCATGAAAACGCAACCATCACAATTGTTTCAGAAGCTACTAAGCAAATTGAACATAAGAGAATTAGTTTAGAACTTTCAACAGTTAAGCTAGGTCAATGTACCTCCATGGTTAAAAGTAGTAGCAACAAGAGATCCAAATAATCCATGCGTTCAGATTAATATGAAAGAAAACTGATTTACCATAAAAATTGCAATTGTTTGACAGTTTTCTTTCAAAAAGCCTTGTAGTATCGCTTCTGCTAGACATGCATTATTGCTACAAATTTGGGTCTGCTGTAGATATAATCTCATATTATGACATCGAATAATCTCATAATTAAATCCCACATTTGTTAAATGCTGAAGTTTATTGATACTGCCTAATATCTATTTATATGATAGCAGAGGGAAGAAACAATGTTTCTTTCCTCATGCCACCCACAATATATAAACTAGCTATCATGTCCTTGCATGTCTCCAATTATGAATGCACTGACTTAATTAAATCATTATAATATGCTTCAGTATAATCCAAAATAATCAACAAATCATATTTTCCTATAACAGTCCTGGATTAAACAAACAAATTTTCAACCTCCATTCTGTACCTTAACTTGCTGAGGCAAAGTTTGTCCTAACATCTTTCTGTTTAAAATCTTTTTTCAATGAGTGTCACTGTATCTGTGTGCACAACTTGAGAGGACATAGGCTAGACAGCCACTGAGAACAGCGACTATCTACCATACTGACTGTGATGAAAAGTATATCCAAAATATTGTAACGTGTCTTTTCTTTTTGAACAATACTGAATGACCTGCTGTGCATTTCTAGCATTTTCCATTTTTATTTCAGAACTCCAACATTTTCATTGTTTTTTTTACCTTGTTACCTAATGAACAACAAACTCGGTACATCTTCACTGTGGGCCTTGGCTTACAAAGACGAGATAAAAGTTTAGGACAGAAGTAAACTAATATTTAATTAAGGCCAGTAATGTTATGCATATTTTGAATTAAAAATTCCAGAATTCAATATTCAACAATTATGCGTATTTTACTCAATGAATAACTATTAATAATGCCCATCAAGCATTACATGCCCTACACCCTAGATTTAAAAGCAGAATATCCTCCAAGTCACTCCAAGCAATGTTATCAAAGATTTTATCATCAAAAACACTTCGTATCTAGTAGAAGTCCATCATCCTCCCGACATCATATTCAAATATGACAATGTTTTGCAAACAATGTTTAATTCTTCCTAAAAAAGACAAACAAAAGCAGTCATTTAATCTTGAGATTCTCTTCACCTGCAGTCTGGAATTTAGAGCTCTTTCCAAAAGTTAATGCTTTTTGATAAAACAATAATTAAACTTTGATCAATCATTGTCTTAAAAGGACTAGAACTCCACCATAGAAGAAGAATAATTCAATTTTAGTACTGAATGGGATCATGGACAGAATCTTTCAGCCATGCCTAAATTGGGGAGAAAGGTGGATGGGGAGGTGTGTGGTGGAATTTAATTGCATGGGAGGTCAATGTTCAGATTCCCAACAACAGGTTAATGTTTTGATACAGTGTTGGAAGAAAGTTTCAGGCAAGTAGACCCACCCAATGCTGACGGTTGACAAGCTTTTTTGCATTCATTAGCATGTCATGAATATTCATTAAAACCCAAGCTGCCAGCATTACATTTAGAGCTGCAATTTTAATAGTAATGAATGAGAAAATTGTGCCTTCAGAAACCCAAGTGTATGTGTGAGGTATTCACCTGTTGAGGCAGACTTCTTGGATGGGTTAGTGAGTACACATTTCATCTTGAGACTACATTTTTGTATACTTCATGTCAGCATATTACTGAAGACTACTGATTTCTTGCACATAGCTCATGAAGGAGAGAGAACGAATTTCGTTCCTGTAGATGGGCCTCACCATGGTGGGGTAGGTGTAATGTAGGATTTCACCAAAGATATGAACAGATTGATAAGTGCCCAAAGATTAGGAAGACAAGGGGAGATTTCTGGAAGAAGCTACCAATATCTCACCTGCAATTTCTTCACAGAGGAATATTCTCATTTAAAATCTTTCACTAGGTGAACCCAGCAGCTATACTGAATTTGACATGCTCAAATAGGAGAAGATGAATGGAAGCTCAGGGTAAAGAAACAGCAGGACTCGAGCCTCAGGAGACTGTAGCTGTGGATGAACAGGCAACACCTGGGTGGGGAAATCAGGGTCAGATGCACTGCCAAGCAGTATGCCACAAGAAAGTCTGCAGAAGGGTTGGAACTACCTGTAAATAAATTAAAGATAATTCTGGAGGAGACATCATATGAGTGGGGCCCATCAACAGTTGTCACGTAGGGACCCAGGTTCAATTCCACCTCCTGCAGGAAGATATGTAGCTGCACGGATTTGTAGGCAGCATACTCCTGTGGCACTATAGACCATAGCAGATTGAACTTCTTCATCACAGGCTCCTTTCAAGGTGAAACTGGGAACTTGTGTGGCATCTTCTAATAATCCATTAGTGCATCAGAGAGTTGGCTAATGTCCTTTTCAGAAAACCACGTGAGCTTGCATAGTTCACCATGAGCCCAACTAGTCAAGTAGTCAGAACTGTGGAACATGTCCCCATTTCCTTGCCTCCAGGTCCAAGGAAGAATCAACTCCACACATATAGTGATCAGAGCTCCCTGACATCATCCTGTCAGATTCCTGACCAGGGAATGTCCATCTTAAGTGTAATTATAGGAGACAACATTTCCAGGTGTGCTCCCAGTACAGGAAGCTGTCGAGACACTTATATTCTATAAAACTCTCATCACAAATGTTCGGTCCTCTGCATTATATCTGGGACTGGCTTGTGTGTGACAAGGACAAAACTCAGAAGACTTGCCAGATAAGCAAGCTTTGGAACCCCCAAATTAACAAGAGCCATCATTAAGCAGACAGTTGGGCTCCTGAAGATACGTTTCCATTTTCTGGACCGCTCAGGTGGCACACTTCAGCATTTCTGGGACTATGTCGCAATGTTTGATTGTTTGCTGCATCCTCCACACCTTAGTTGCATGACGGAGAAAGCATTTACAAAAGGGTAAGGTGCATGAAACACGTTTCCTCAGACAAGAAGTGCAGAATGATGTACTAAGGCACGGCAGACAGGCCAGTGAGAATATAACAGTAGTTAGATTTGGGTCCCATCGAATTTTCAAGAACATATGAGGGTACCACAAGACCAAAGAAAGAGAACGGGAGTCGATCATTTGGCCCCTTGAGCTGACTTGCCATTTAATAGGATCATGACTGATTCAATACTCCTCATGTCCACCTTCCTGCCCTTTCTACATAATCCTTGATTCTCCTACTGATCAAGAATATATCATAGCATTAAATATACACAAGGATTCTGACCCCCACAGCTCTCTATGGCGAGGAGTTCCAAAGACTCACAACCATTTAGAGAAGAATTTCCTCCTCATCTCAGTCTTAAATTGGTGCCCCTTTATTCTGAGACAATGTCCTCTTGTCCAGACTCTCCAATGAGGGGATACATCCACTCAAGCCCGTTAAGAATACTATATGTTTCAATTAGATCACCTGTCATTCTTCTGAATTTCAGTGAGTACTCCCAATCTGTTTAGCCTTTGCTCTTAAGACAATCCCGCCATACCAGGGATCATTCTAGTGAACCTTCTCTGAATTGCTTCCAGTGAAATGATATCTTTTCTTCAATAAGGGGAACAAAACTGCTCATGGTATTCCAGATTTGGTCTCATCAGCATCTTGTACAGTTGCAGTAAGACTTCCCTTCTCTTATGCTTCAAGCCCCTTGAAATAACGGCCAAAATTCCACTAGCCTTCCTGATTACCTGTGGCACTCTGAGCTATAAGCTAACAATGGCTGAGGTGTTCCTGAATTCAGGGCAATGTTTAATTTCAAGCTTATTGTTTATATACTTTTTGGACTTCAATAAAAGAGAAGGTTTTAGCCTTATAACAATGACCTCCTGCTCTGACTCTGGGTCACAGCATCAGAAGAGACGTATGTAGGAAAACATGGAGGTTGTGCATAAATTTCCCAAACAGCAGTGTGTAAGGGGCATTCAGCTATTGCAAAAAGAAATTGAGCGGGCCAATCGAATCCTCAATCATTCACAAATTCTTATAGTTAGCTAAATGTTTCTCCGAGTCCTGTTTCTTTGAAAGGGCAGCAGAGACTGGCAGTGTTTAAATGCCCTGGGCACATTTCTTGTCCCATAAAATTTGTCATTCTCTTCACATGTGCATATGTAATGAGAGAAGAATTCCATGATCACACAAGAAGACATGACCTGCGCCCATGCAGAAGTGACTCCCAGTTCCATGCCAGATGATTGACTTGCATAACAGATGATTCTACCCATATTTCATTCCTTATTACATAGCATATGACTTAATTTTCAATAACCAACACCAAGGAAGATTTACTGATATTTGACATGTATTCAGGTGTTGCAATGATTCATTAAATTTAGTATTACTAAGATTCCCATCACATTGATATAGTAGGCACTGGACGAGATATATTTTGTGCATTAAAGCATATTATTGAAGGATTACTGGGAGCATTTTAATTAGCATTCAGCCATTCTGTACCTGACCAGACGTAAAATAATTCTCCTATTCCCACTGATGGCTTTCCTGATAAGCATATCGTGAAGTATTTTTAACAAAGATAAATTTCTGTTTGGAAATAAAGTCTGCATACAACAAAAATAATCTAACTACAGACTTAGAACAGGAATCCAGATGCACTGCATCGTGAAAACATTATGAAGTATACCTGGTCCACAGTTAGGTTGATGTTGTGCAAGACACTCTGGAGTTTGAGCTTTGGAGATGATAAATTTACGTGTATGTTGTCACGGTCAAATTGCATTTTAGTGCCAAGTAATAGATGATCATTTTGTTCGGCAAGTGAGCTCCCTGGGTCACCTTCAACATACACATTCTTCTTTTCCGTGTTCAGCGTTTTTTCCTTCCTTTTCTTAATCTTCTTTATTTCATCTTTGTTTAAGTTTGATTGCCATTCTAAGGAACAGGTACTGCTCTTTTCCCATGCCAAGCTAGCGTTCTGAAACTCTATGGCACTATGTGGACTATCGGGCTCTTTCCTTACAACTTCTAGTTCTTCCATTAAAAGCAAATGCTAAAGAGATGAGGAGACAAATTGTGATCAACGTAACAGACAATGTTCCTAAAATATTGTAAAATACCGAGTTTCGTACTTGAGAAACATGAAAATATTCAAGGTGGGATATTTTCCTATGTTAAAGGTACTATATAAATGTAAGTTGATGAATAGCAATTTAATTGTTGATTGACCTTAATGAATAAAAGGTGAAAAAATCATGTTATGTGGGTCTCTTTAAAGTCAGATCTTTATATGCAGAAAACCAACGTTTCCCAGCTACCATCAGTTCTGAGGAACGGTCACTGGACCTGAAACGTTAACACTGAATTTTTCTTCACAGATGCTGCCAGGACTGCTGAGCTTTTCCAGCAACTTCTGTTTTTGTTCCTGATTTACAGCATCTGCAGTTCTTACGGTTTGTACTTACGTAAGGTATGATTTGCCTGGATAGCACGCAAAATAAAACTTGTCACTGTACCTCGGTACACTTGACAATAATAAATCAAATCTGATCAAATCAAATCAAAAGTCTGTTTCTTGTGTCCTAGTTCTAATGAGTGCAAGATGAAAAGTTTCAACTTCTAGCAAAGTTTTTACTTATGGGAGAATTAAACATGAGGGAAATAAAGAGAAATTTCTTAACTCAGAGAGTCTTTGAAATGTGAAATTCTCTTCCTTCGGAAATGATTGAAACAGAAGGAATAGGAAGATGTGCTGAAAAACTGAGATTACAGAGATGGTCTGGTGGGAGATTTTTGGTGTACCAACACCAACCAACTAGTTCAACCAACTGGCCTTTGCTGAACTTTCTATGCAATTTTACACTATCACACGAAGTTAAGAGCTATACATTCAATACTATACTGAGTGCACATCAGACCCTTTTATAGGAAGGTCCATTGACTGTTAGATTACATAGTATGGTATATATTTAAAGGATAAAACTAAGCATCAGTTCACAGAAAATGCAACTTGTCTATCAAAACTGAATTCGAGTTTGTTAGAAAAAATTGCTCCTGTAACATTCTACTCAGAAAACTCAAATACATGCTCTAATTAGTAAATTTATTCTATAACTTACAAGAATAAGCAACAATTAACAAACTACAGTAGTAGGGTTCTCTCATTATAACATTTAAGATTAGAGTACTTCTATTGTTTAGTAAGCAAGACATCCGATCCTTTCTAATATCTTGCAAAAGATGAATTCTGGCTGTTTGCAATGCTCCCCCTTGGAAAAACTAATCAAACTTGTTAAATTTCAAACAGATGTGTGCCAGAGGCAAATTTAACCGCTCATACAAAATTCTTTGAAGTGGTTGCCAAATCAATGCTGGCAGTCCTTCCTACTTAGATTCACTGTTAAACATGAAAGATTGATCTAATCATCCCACATGAATGGGATGACATACTTCAGCACCTGAGTGGGCAACTGTAAAACAGTCTTGGGAACTGGCACTGAATCAATGAACACCTTTTCTTCTAAGACCTGTGCTGTTCAATAGAAGTTACTGACTAGCCACGGATGTTGCTTCAGAAACACTATCTTAGCTACATACATTAACTTTTGCAAAAACACAAACTGCTTGCATGCTTTAACATTTTCAGGAGGACTTCCATTACCTACCATAAGGAAAGGAACCTGCTTGAAAATGAGAATTAGTGGATAATTGGGCTTCCATTACATGACATATTGCTAAGAAATGAGCTTGGAGAAAAGCTGAAAACTTATTAGTCATAATACTAAATTAGGATTTTAATATTATTTTCCTGCTACATTCAATTGCTTTCCTTCAAAGTAACTGATTTTGGTGTTTAAATCACTGTTAGATTGTCAAAACTATTATTCAGCTCTGTGTTTTCTACCGAACGGTAGTAAATTTACTTCACGGATATATTTTTTAGTAAATCCTCCAGCTCCGCTTGCTATAGGTTCTCTTATTAGATTCTGATAAAAATCTGGCTTTTTCTGCAAAACAAAAACCTGATATGACAATCGTATTGCTGAGGTAAATGCACTTCAGATGTGCACTTCAAATGTTTACTATCCAAACTTTTACTGCCATATTTTAACCAAGGAAGTAAGGCACTCACTATGGTAAAATAATACTCACACAATCTGCTTTTGTCCCATAATTTACCAATAAATGCTTAAAAAGGCAAACAAAACAAGCACAGAAACCAAATTTAGGTGAGAATATCATCAAGTGCTACTCTTCCTGTCTTTCCTAATCACCATAATCATCTATTCGATTCTTTCTTACATGTTTACCAAGTGGTCTCTTAAGATGATTCTATTCATTTTAATGATTTCCACTGTGGTATCAAACTCCACACTGTCCCACACTCTTGGATAAAAAAGTTTTGATTTCTCGGTAACTAACCCATATTGAATGCCTCTTTAATGGTATATGCCTGTTACAGCATGCAAGCAAAAATGTACAAAAACAGACTACGGTTTTTTTGATCTACTGACATCCATGAGTTAACAATGTATTAAAATGTTCAGGGGCAAGTATCCATAATAAAGAAATACCATTCTTTCAGCTTTACAGTTGCTTAAATATTTCAGAAATCATATACACATATTTACATGATAAATTGATTTTACATTGTAATACTAAAGCTGTACCTTAAATCTGCCCACAGCAACAGATGCCTCAGACAGGGCTTTTACAGATATGGGTGTGATCTTCAGGGCAAAAGTCATTGCATTAAATACTGCAACAATTGTAAATGCCTGCAGAGATTAAAGAAAACAATATCACAATTAATAATAAAATTGAAAATTGTGGAAACCTGTAATGAGGTTTTGAGTCAGTATCTGAAAGAATGAACAAATTAGACATTTCAGACAGAATGGTTCATTAGAATGAGCTTAGGTTGAAGGACTCTTTTCAAGATCCATTTTTAGATCCAAATTAATTCATGGTATATGCATCAAATATCTGGAATAGTACTCAATCGTCAAAATGGAGAAAATGTTCAGAATGACTGTTGGGATGATAGTCTGGCATAAGTGGGTAGTGTGAAAGGGTCAGGATGTTGCTCCACCCAGCACAATGTGACAGAGAAGGTTCAACAAGTAAAGCATTAGCCTGTGTGAATCTTTTTCTCACATCAAATCATTGCAGAGCAACCTTGAGAGAGTATGCATTATATATTGTGTATAATATACTGTAGTACATAATATACAGTATATATTCAAATGTACATTGAATAATGGTGGTACATTCACTACAAGTCTGGATGCAATTTGAACATTGTGCTAATGGCAACAATCTTTCAGATGTATCTGTGTTTCTTCAAAAGCACAAATTTCACTCAGGTCATGGCTAAAGATGCAATGTCACATATGTAAAATGAAAGTGTGGGTTCAATTGTCAGTTAACAAATCATAATGTACAATAAATAAAACAAAACATTAACTGTGGAGCTAAAGAAGATACCACATTACTAAATATTTTTTGGGTGTTTACTGTGGCTGAGCTAGTCGGCCTGTTGCCTCTGAGCCAGAGGACTGTGGGCTCAAATCATACCCCAGGCACTTAGAGTACAAAACTACGGCTGGCAAATTCCACTGCACTGAAGAAACTGCCACCTTTCGGATGGGACGTCCTCCCAGCTGATATTAAAGATTCCATGTCGTTATCTTAGAGAAGAACAGAGTATTATTTCCGGTGTTCTGGAAAATATTTCCCTCTCAATTAACATTTAAAAATCACTTTACCGAGTCATTATTATATTGCTGTTTGTAGGGCCATGATTTGTGAAAATTGGCCATCATTTTTCCTGCAGTGAGAACTTTTGGAACATTTCATTATCTGTAAAGTATTTTGGAATGTTTTGAGTTCATGAAAGGCACTTAAATGCAGGACTCTCTTACAGTTCTATTAACTGTGATTGTGTTTACCTCAGCTGCAGTGAGATCATATCCCATTGCCATGTGAAGTGTGAATGTGCAGCTACTGGATACTACAACCACAATTGGAGCAACTCCAACTGTGATGCTCTGCACATAGCCTGCTTTCTCCAGAAAATGTCTCTCTCTGCTTCTGATCACTGCAAAAAAAGACAAAATCAACCACGATTTCCAAGAGATCCAAAAAAATTGTTCAGTTGATGAGAGTTTTAAATACTAGCGTTCAGAAGTTAAGGCTGATGAAGTTAGAACCAAGAAAAGTCAGGTGGAACTTTCCTTTCAAGTTCAAGTATGATAAGCTTCTGAAATAGGTTAACTGGAGTATTTATTGACTCATTATACAAATACACACATTTCTGGAACAATATAGGAGATAATAAATAGCTTCAAAAAGGAACAAACTTGATGAACCATGTTGCCAACTCTTCGGCCTATGGAAATCTATTGAAATATGCCTGCATTCACACTTTCTTTAACATCAATGATCATTCCAAATGTTTTCAGAGAATAAATGCTTGGGATGATAGGTGACAACTCAAACAGTGGTAATCATTTCTGTTTTTCCTCAAACCAGGTGAAACTATGGAACATGGTTAGGAAATTTAGTTTTTTTTTGGAATTATTTCATATACAGTCCAATGTCAAGCTGCCAATTTTGTTTTGGTTGTCATAAAATTAGCTCTGTCTACCAACCACTGGATTTTTGTTCATAGGTCAGGTGCCCAGAGTGAGGAGAGTCAGTGGCTACAATGTACCATCTACACGATGCAATGTAGAAATTCATCAGAGCTCTTTAGTATATTCCAAACATTCAAATATTACCATTGAGAAGGACAGGAGCAGCATGGAGACACCTGTGGGTTTCCCTCCGAGTCACTGGGCATCCTGACTTGGAAATGTACCACTGTCACTGCAGCTCTGGAACTCCTTCCCTGAAGGCATTGTTGATATACCTTCACCAAATGGACTTCAAGATGGCAGCTTGCAATCATGCTCTTGGCGTCGACTGCGGATGGACAATGAATGCTGAACCAGCAGCAACACCCACATGCCATGACAAATAATAAAAAGAAATCACAACCTTAGCACTCATTGGGGATGTAAATAGGTGGCTGTACAAAACTTGATGTCCTACAGTAACTTGGATACAGGAACATTTCATTCTCCCTCTAGTGTCAGGAACAATTCGTGTGCAGAATAACTTCCAGAAGAAGTGGTGGATGTGGGTACAGTTACAAAGTTTAAAAAACATTTAGATAAGCACATAAATAAGAAATGTTTGGAGGGATATGGACTAAGTGAAGGCAGGTGGGACTAGTTTAGTTTGGGATTATGGCCAGCATGGACTGGTTGGACTGAAGGGTCTGTTTCCATGCTATATAACTGTAAGTGCCAGCTCTGTATGCGCTGTTGTACGCGTACCTAACCTTTCAGAGAGTTCACCTTTAAGTACTCCATGAACTGAGTGTACAATATGTTGCTACTCTGTCTGCCAGTTTGTCTGCTATGGGGTTGCAAGCTACATACAAAGGAGTTGAAGATCATTCTTGAGATAGTCGTTTCAGAAATAAGTGCCACCAATTATGCTTTAGTAAAATAACATAAACAGGACAAAGCAGAAACTGAAATAAAATCTTGAGAAAGGTCAAAACTTCAAAGAAAACTTCAGGTGAAGAAATAAGTTGTGAAGAGACTGGACAGTTATTAGAAAAGGTTATGATGGTATGTTGGATCAACAGAAGGCTACAACCTCCACAGAAGTAAAAAAATCCAAAGTGCAATACCAGAAGCTTCAAAATAAGCTAGAAGATTTGAACCATTCAAGCAGCTTGAGGAATGTGATCAGTCAGTGGACAATCTAGAACAAAAGCTGGCTATTGTGAATCGGATAGGCAAATTCTGGAACAGCAATTGTAATCAATGAAATAAACATTTGATGACACAAACGGGAACAACAGATAACGTCACTGATGACTGGAAATTGAAGGCAGGCCCTTTGAATATGCTCCATCATTTAACAACATTGTTGTTGATCTGACCATGGTTTCAACTCCACATACCTGCCACTCTCCCATAAGTCTTAACTCCCTTGTCTATTAAAAATCAATAAATTTAATAATGCAGCCTCCACTGTTTCTGAGGAAGAGAATTCCTGAAATTTCTGAAGAAGGGTCCAGACCTGAAATGTCAGCTTTCCTGCCCCTCTGATGCTGCCTGGCCTGCTGTGTTCCTCTAACTCCACACCTTTTTATCATCTTCTTCCCTGCCGTTATTAGATTAACAAAGGGACTCTCTAACTTGAAATAATGCTGATGTCGCTAATGTTGATCTTGCCTAGTGGATGCCCCACGACGAAACCTGTATGTCGCTATCCAAGATTTTTTTCACCCTATGATCTGTATCTCCTTCCTTACTATGATCTGCTTATATTGCTTGTAAACAAAGCTTTTTGCTGCACTTAGGCACACATGACAATAAATCAATCAATCAATGGTGTCGTGCGACTTCTGATTTCATAATGCAGTGATAATGGAATAGAATTTCGTGATCCAACTGTTGAAATTGCCGGATTTTTATCAAAAGAAATACTCAACTGGTTCACTTCTGCTCTTTCAGGAAAGAATCCTTCTGGTCTTAGCCAGTCTGGCCTATGCGTGATCAGAGCTGTTCACTAAAATGCTTGATGTGTAATCACCCCCTCAATGTCATTCAGTTCTCCCAACCCAATAAATCCACTGCCTCCGTGGGATAATTAGAGATGAACAGAATACACCAGCCTTGCCAGTGAAAAACTGAAAATAATTTTTTTAAAAAACCGTTGGTTCTCACAGTAAACTTACGGTGAACCTTTTCAGCAAACAATTTTTCCCAGGTGTACATCTTGATGAACCTGATGTAGTTTAGAATTTCATTCATCAGCCGCACACGTCTGTCAGTGATTACAATGCATTGCTTTCTGAAATAAGTTGTCAGCCTAGACATAAACATCTGGGAAAACAGGAGAAAAGAACATTGTCATCAATATTAAGATAGGAATGAAGCAAAGGTTGTAAGCCCATAAGGAGGAAATAATTATGAGGGTCCTTTTTATAACCATGTGTTCTAAGTACATAGAATTCTTAATGCCATTGCATGAGATTGTTACCTCAGCAAACTTGGTAACCAGGCATGTAGCCACCTGTAACGATGAGAACAATGTACAGATATAACAGTGGTTAACGGCACCAGTACTGAAAAAGGTTAATCCTCAAACAACATTTGATAAACAAATCATTATTCACATGCAACAAAAACAGAAATTGCTGGTAAACATACAACAGGTCAATCAGTATCTGGGATGAGAAGAGACAAGTTCAAACTTGGCCCTTTTTCAAATTAAACGTCAACAGGTATTTTCGCAAAATAAGATCAAAAGCGTGGGAAGGGATAAAGGAGATGGATCAAAACAAGGTCAGAATAGCAGTGAAGTGGCAATAAGCTACTGTGAAATGGCAATAAGCTACTGAAAAGAAAATAATAGATGGTTAGATAACGTAAATGATTTTTGCAGCAGACAATGGAAACAAGCATTAAATACAGCACAGGAGCAAACAGCATGTGAATGAATAAGGGAATGAGAGATTTTCAGCAGAATCCTTTGTCTTCCCACATTAGCGTATTTAATGGCAACGGGCATTTATATGGATTACAGGATTGTGGATAGAAACATCTACAATTAATGGCTACAACTAATGCCTACAATTTAACACTTCGTAACTAATGCCTGCTTAAAATGTCTCATAACTCCCCATTCACAGATAGGAAAGCTCAGCATGCAGGGTACACAATAATTAAACTACGGTGAATTTGCTTGAGCAGTCCCTGGATGATCAGTTGTTCAGAGGCACTTATAGAATCATAGAGTCACACAGCATGGAAACAGACCCTTCGGTCCAACTCATCCATGCCGGTCTTCTTGAATTGCTGCAATTCATTTGCTGTAGGTAGATCCATAATGCCATTAGGGAGGGGTTCCACCATTTTGACCTGGCTGCACTAAATGAACGGTGATATATTCCCAAGGCTGAACGGTTAGTGGCTTGGAGGGGAAATTGCTGATGGTGATGTTTCCATGTAGCTGCTGCCCTTCTCCTTCTGGGCAGAAGCAGTTATGGGTTTGAAAGGTGCTTTCTAAGGAATCTTGTTAAATATTTGCAGTGCATCTTGTACATTGCACACACTGTTGCTACTGAGAGTTGGTGGTGGAGAGAATGAATTGCTTGTGATGCCAAACAAGCTGCTTTGTTCTGAATAGAACCTGGTTTCTTGAGTATTGATGGAGCTTCACTCATCCAGGCAATTGGGGAGTACACCATCACATTCCTGACTCGTGCCTTGTAGAGAGTGGACAGGCTTTGGGAAGTCAGGAGGTAAGTAATTTGCTGCAAGATTCTTAACCTCTAAACTGCTGTTGTGGCCACTGAATTTATATGGTGAGTCCAATTCAGTTTCTAGTCTTACCAAACCATGGGGCTGCTGACTCATTACAGAGATGACTGATGGTAGTTTAACCTAAGGGTCATTCCACCATAGGCGAGGGGAGAAGTTGAGAAAGAGAGCCCTTCATGGCAACCTCAGCTGGTGTGGGAATTGAACCCACGCTGTTGGCATTTCTCTGCACCGCAAAACAGCTGTGAACCAATTGAGCTAACCAAAGCCCTGGGCCATTAGCGTACAATTAACCACAAGGCTCTTGGCACCACACAAGATTTCAGACCTGACATGCAAGGCTGTGCTTTGCATCTGTTGTGTAATGTTTTATGGTCAGGAATTCCAGTATATCATCACTGTATCAAAGAATGTTACTTGAGAATATGAAGGTCTCACACTCCATCTTTCTCCTAGATCACTTGAAGCATGACACACTATTAGAAGGATACTGCTCTGCGTAACATAATAGCTTAATGTAGCCCAGAAACACATGTGTCTAAAATGTTATGTCTGTATACAATAGTTAGCTATAATAAATATGTCATTCTTCAATATCATATTATTCAGTTTCTTGTGTTGCAAGGGATAGTAGAAGCATTACCAAATCAGATAAAATACCCCCGTGAAGGAAAACTCACAGCAATACCTACACATTATCCTTCCTTTCTTCATAACGTTAGCTATTTGCATGTTCTTTACAAGGGGAAAAATGAAGGAAGGAGTTCAAGAAAAAAAACACCAGCATAACAGAAAAGGACGAGAAAGATTACTATTACTAAAGGCTGACAAATTCCCTGGACTCGACGGTCAACATCCTATGAAAAAGAAGTAATTGCAGATAGTAGATTATTGGTTGCTATCTTCCAGCTGACCAGTAAACTGCAAACATAACACCACTATTCATGAAAGGAGGAAAAAAGAAAACAGGAAACTACGGATAGCTACCCTAGCATCTGGAATCCACTATTAAGGAAGTAGAATATTGTTTCCTGAAAGCAAAATCATGTTTCATATTTTCATTAAAGTTCTTTAAGGATGTCAAAGCTGGGCAGATAGAGGAGAAGCAGTAAATATAGTCAGTGTCTTTGGATTTCCAAAAGGCATTTAGCAAAGTGCAACATATAGGCTTACAAGACAAGATGAATTCAGAGTGGCAGAATAGCAGGAATAGGGGACTAGCGAAAGAACAGGAAACACACGCTTGGCAGTGCAAATGCTGAGAGAAAGTTTCCCATCATTAGAAATTTAGAACCATATGGTATGGTTTCAGAATAAGATGTCTCCAATGCAAGCCAGATACAAGGAGGAATTTTGTCTATTGGAGCATGGTAAATCTTTGGAGTTCTTTATGTCGGAACACAGTGGCAGTTGGTAATTTGGTTAAGACAGTTTGAGTTAAGACAGATATCTGATCTTCGAGGGAACTAAATTTTATGAGGGGCTAGGCTAGCAGGAGTATGATAAGATCAGACATGACTTTACGACATGGTGGCTCAATGATTAGCACTGCTGCCTCAGAATGCCAGGGACCCGGGTTCAATTCAAGCCTCGGGCAACTGTCTGTGTGAAGTTTGCACATTCTCCCTGTGTCTGCATAGGTTTCTGCCGGGTGCTCCATTTTTCTCCCACAACCAAAGATGTGCAGGTTAGGTGAAGTGGCCATGACAAATTTCCCATAATGTCCAGGGATGTGTAGGTTGGGTGGATTAGCCACGGAAATGCAGGGTTAGAGGGATAGGGTAGTGGGGAGAGTCTGGGTGGAATGTTCTTCGGAGAGTCAGCGTGGACTTGTTGGACTGAATGGCCTGTTTCCACACTGTAGGGATTCCATGGATTCTATGGACAGCATGCTTGAGGGCTTGTTTGGCTTATTCCTCCAATTGTCTGTGGAAATTCCTTTACATCTCATTTACTATGTAATTTCTTTCATCCTAGATCTATTACACAGCCATGAAGTTTAAAAATTTGCGCAAAAATATTTTCAAAATATTATGATACATTGTAATTTCTTTTAACTGTTAAATAAGTCATCAAATTAGAGTGTTTAGGAATGTAATTAAACAATATTTGGGCATAGCGCATTACGCTATAGAAAATTTGCAAAGATTTTCAGTATTAAAACATAGAGTTAGATTAGTTTTACGACATTCATTATCAGGTTCAATTGAATTATAATGCTATCATTTGTAATTATTTCTAATTTTGCATTTCCAATGTTCCACCATTGCGTTTTGAGAGCATATATTTCTTTTGGTATCTTCATTGTTTGCATTTGGAATTAAAGCCAATTTATAAACAGTGCATTTTTACTTTCACGAGTCTCAATTAATTGTGTCACAATATGCTGATTTTATTTTTTTCTCTATGTCTGTGAAATCTCCCAAAACTGGCAAAACAAAAGGAATATCCATCATTAATTATCAACTGTTTTACAAGTATCACTTATTTTACATTAATCCATGCAACCCAAGTTTAAACTTTTAAAACCAACGCATAACAATTCACTATTCAAGAACAAAAAATTGTGATTTCCAATTGTGTAATGTAGATTTATGTTAACAATATTGTGACATTGTAACAAAGAAATAGAATGATGAGAAAAAAAAGAGAAAGGCAGGAAGGGTACAAGTTGGAAGAGACACATTATCAATGAAAAGGAAATTGATTGGGAAAGTTTAGAGCAAAAGAGAAAGTGTTTTCAAGAAATGGAGAATGGAAAATGTACAGGAGCTTGTAATCCTCATACAATATTTCCTTGATTTGCTTTCATTTTAACGCTGTTCTTTCAAGCTCTATTCATTCAACTCTTCTCCATTTCTAGTTAACATTATGTTAATGTCAGCATCAGTTTTGTTTACCATTTGCCAAGAGCGAGCCAGCATTGAAACGGAGGAGTACAGAGAGATGTTGAAAACGAAAGAGAAAGAAACAAAGGCAGAGAACAAACATGAACTGTAAATGTCCAGTATGTGATTGTAGTGAGTATGCTGTGGTAAAGAGAGCTCAGAAAGCTTTTATTTTCTGAAGAAGGATCCCGACCCGAAACGTCAACTTTCCTGCTCTTCTGATGCTGCCTGGCCCTCTGTGCTCCTTCAGCTCCACACTGTGTTATCTCTGACTCCAGCATCGGCAGTTCTTACTATCTCTCGGAAAGCTAATATGTTATCAATTATATATTCCCACCAACCTCCAATAACAAAATACTCTACTTTCTTCATCTTTTAAGGAATTTGTCCTTATCTCTAACTTAAGTGTGTGATCCCATATTTTTACACAGGGACCCTTCGGTTCTAAGTTCTCTTACCAGATGAAATATCCTTTCTATATCAAGACCTTTCAGGATCTTATTATGCATCAATTAATTACCTCTTATTCCACAAAGATGCACTGGATACAAGCCTTGTTTGTCCAACTTTTCCTCAAAAGATAACCTACATATTCCAGGTATAAGTCCAATTATCCTTCTCTGAACTCCTTTCAACATATTTACATCCTTCTTTAAATAAGGGAACAATGCTGCATATAGGACTCCAGATATGGTCTCACCAATGCCTTGTATAACTTAAGTATTGCTTCATTAAGCTATTAGCTTTCCAAATTACTTGCTGTTCCTACATACCAATGCTCTGCAATTCTTGCACAAAGTCACATAGATCTATTTGCATTTCAGAGCACTGTAATCCCACATTATATCTTATTGGCTAGATTTTTGCCCACTCACTTTCTGTATCCCTTTGTAATCTTGTGTCCTTTTTATAACTCACTTTCCCATTTATCTTTGTCTCATCAGCAATATTAGCAAATACACCTTTGGTTCCTTCTTTTAAGTTATTTATATCAGTTGTGAGAAGTTGAGGCCCCAGCACCAATCCCTCTTGCACATCTCACATTACATCTTGTCAAAGAGAAAACCGACAGCACATTCTATTTCTTCATCGACTCCGTTGAATTGGTTAAACTTGATTGCCTTTCATAAAAGCCGCTTATAAAGAGCAGCTTTATAATCAGCTCTACCTGATTGCTTTTTTTTCTAAGACCCTGCTTTAATATCATTAATTTCTAACATTATCACCTTGACAGATACTTAGTTAACAGGCCTGTAATTTCCTGCTTCCTGTCTCCCTCCCTTTTTGAATAAAGGATTACATTTGTTATTTTGTGATCATATTGATCCTTTCCTGAATCTGGCAAATTTTGGAAAATTAAAACAACGCATCAACTATCTCACCAACGAATTCTTTAAGATACTTAAGTCCTTTAAGTAGTTTTACTTAGCTATTCACCTAATCATTTTGTTTTAAGGAATGCAACCACAACTTTAAGTGAGGATTACCTGGACAGAGTTATTGTCTTTTTTTTAGTAAGTATAAACGAAATGCAAACAGAAAAATAATACTGTTTCCTTATTATTTTCATCTATATTCCCCCTCAATCTAACTCAAGAGAAATGTAGGAAAGGAATTAACAATGCCTACCAGCAACGGATAGATAAGAATGAAAACAGCTGATCCCAGTAGGGCAGTTGGTCCAAGGAACAATGCAGTGTAGATGATTCCAAGTATGGCAACAAGGGGGCCTCCTGTCAACATGGAACCAACAGAGGCCACTTCAAAAAGACGTTGTCCATCATTTGAGCAGATGTTCACCAACTGAAAGAGAATGACAAATTCAAATTTCTAACCTGCAACAAATTGGTGAACAGACTTCTATTCAGGTTGTTTACTCTACGCTATGTAATTGAATAGTCATTGAAATAGCTGTTAATTCTAAACTGGAAATTCGGGAATTAGTGAATGTTTAAGGAAAGAAGGAAATGCAGAGATTATGACACATAAAAAACAAAGTGTTGGAACATTGAAAGCAAGGCTGAGAGTAGAAAATCTGTGGAGTAGGTGTATAAGTGCTGAACAAATGCCCAATGAATGAATGAAAGAAGTGAGGGATGACTAATCTGCTATCAGAGATGTTTTGGGTATATGTAAATGGATACAAAAGAGGCAATCAATAAGTCAAGAATCTATTGAGTGCTGATCCCATGAAGAAATTCAAAAATGAGATGAAGAATTTTTAAATTTTCACTCTGTGGCAAGGCATATGGTGGTTGTTTGAAAACACAGAGGTAATAGAAATGTGGGACTTAATAACTAGGATATGGGCTGATGGGTTTTGGGTGATCTCACCTCTAGTGTTGCTTTCTATATGACTAAGGTTTTAATTTTACTTTATGAGTTATAAACCATTTAATCATCTCCCATTTTCCACCTTTGCCTTTATAGCCTTCTCAATTTATTTTAAGTGTAGGTAGAAAGGTGTGAGTTTTCCTTCCCCTTCCTTTTGCTCTATTCCATTTTAAATTCCATTCAGTTGCAATTCTTACGTACGAAAGACTCTATATATTGAAATATGAGGCTGGATTTTATGAAATGGTTGGAGGGCAGTAGGAGGAACATAACGCTTGCCACAGACCGACTCTGGCAGAAAGATTATTTTAAAATTTTAAAAGAAAGCTGCCCAATGATGATATTATAGTAGGGCAGCCTTAACAGGATCAGTGTGGGATTACCACAACTCAGGAGAAAGAAATCTCACCTTCAAGAACTGCTGCCCAACCAAATTAACCAGCAGTTTAGTAGTCTCACAGTGCCAGCAGCAAGTATTAGGTATTGCTGGGACTACAAGGGAGTTACTGGAAAGAAGTAGCATGAATTTTGGACTGAGGTATCTTTGGACAAGGATTATGGGCCTCAATGAAGAAAGGAGGAGAAGGAAGGGAGAATAGAGAAACAGGGTACAATACTTTCATCACTCTTCCATAGTTGTTCCAAATGCTACTTATTTTCATGCCACTACCTTCTTACTTTTGATCCATTTTCCCCAACTCACTTTTGTCTCTTTATCACACCCATTAGTTTTGGTTCCCCCCTTCATCACATTCTTTTTCTTTCAATTTCATTTCTTTCTCCTCCTGTTCTGTACTTCAGTTGCGTTTTGAAATATCCTGTTTCTCCTTCTTCTTATTCATTCCTAATTTATCTGTGCAACAGTTATCTTCTCATTTTGTTTCATATTACACTAGAAATGATGCACAGGAATTCATAATAGAAGGGATCAGAGCTTCAAGCAAAGTTGCTGCTTAACTTTAAACCAAGTCAAGGACAGGGTTGTTGAAATAAAATTTCAATGATGCTTCCTGACTGTCCTCGATTTGTTTATGTGGTTAATGTGAGAAAGATTTCATTGTATGATTCTCCTTGCTACCAATTCTGTTTCAGTTGCTTCTTTATCTCATGAACATTACAACAGATATATCAAACAAATATAAAATATTTTTGTAAGTAAAATACAATAAGTCAATACTCACTTCTCCAACTGACACGTCTTTTGTGTTTCGTAGTTTAAGTATTTTCTCAAAGGCCAAAGTAAGTAATGCTCCACGGAGTCGAGTTCCAGTTCGATAGTTTAAAGCCCAGGTCAGAGCAAATGACCATGAACGTACCAACTCTGCCGTAAAAATGCCCAAAACTAAGAGCAGCCCATATTGAAGATTTGACTGTGGGGCCTGGGCGTACTCTAACAGTTTTCTTATGATAAGGGCCTGTTGGAAAAAGAAAGGAATGATATTCTATTCTAGAATTAGGCAAATTGTTTATAAACTGTTGGACTCTTGAATTCTCATAACATACAGGTAAAGAACTACTTATGCCAGTGACAAGTTTTAGCAGATTATAAAGAATAGAATGTTTTTTCAAAGCATGACACTATGTAAAAGAAAAATCATTCAATATAAAATGTAAACACAATGCGCAATTTCTTACTTTTAATGAAAATGGCCAAGGAATGTGTGCTTTTGAAATGTCTTTCAAAAATAATATAACTGTTATCCACTTTTCAAAACATCTCAACCTTCCTCAGTGAATCAAATGATTTAAAGAGGGCCTGGGATCAGCGTGGGGTTGTAAGGGATGGTATTAGGTGTGGGAGAGGGGTAGTACTTTTCCCACATTTCCAACATGCAATGCTATTCCTAAGGTGTGCATTTCCTTCAAGATATCACACATTTCTTATGTTAATTAAAGAAGCCTACAGTATATCTGTTTTCATCCCTGAAGTTGTCAAATCAAAGAGACAAATGTAATTTCACAACTGAATGCACATAGATTAATTTTTTAAAAGAAAAAAACTTTTGCGGTATGCTAATGGTACTGGTAAAGCCAGCATTTGTTTCCCTAATTGCCCTTGTGAGCTGTGTTATTTAACTGCTGCAGTCATTTTGTGTTGATATATTCACAGTACTGTTGCAAGATCCAGGTTTTTACAGCCTGTGACCTTCTCTTTCGAGAAAGAAGTCACCTGTCTTGAGCTGGTCTCGTCAATACATGACTCTTAGCTATCCTCTGAAATGACCACTCAGCTTAAGGTTAAAAAAAAATGCTGACTTTGCCAGTGATGTCACATCACATCAAATAATTTTAAAAAGCACAACAGCATAGTTCCAAATAAGGATAGTGTGCAGCTTGGGAGTTAGCTTGCATCCCATGCATCACTGTCCTTGTCCATCCAGGTGGTTCAGTTTACAGATATGGAAGGTGCTGTCGAAGCAGTCAAGATGATTTGCCCCATTGCAACTTGTGTATGGTACACACAGCTGTTATTGTGCACAAGTGGTGGATACTAATCTTCTGAAAGCCGGTTGGTCAAGAAGGAGACCAGGAGTCAACCTTTACTTTGTTTTAGCTTTCTTCACAAAGTGAAGCATCACAAATGTATAGTTCCTAACTCTGCAACCCATCATCAGTATCAATAAATATCTCGTTATACTGATTTGAAAAGAAATAAACAAATTACCAACTCCTTTAAAAGAGATACTGTAACACTATTGTAAGTAAAAATCAAAAGAAAACTCCCAGTCCAGTCACCCCTTCTCATTCCCCAGCATTAGCTGTCACTACAAAGACTTCATCAAACCAAAAGACCATAAGATACAGGAGCAGAATTAAGCCATTTGGCCCATTGAATCTGCTCCACCATTTGATCATGGCTGATATGTTTCTCAAACCCATTCTCCTGCTTCCTCCACGTAACCTTTGAATCTCTTAACAATTAAGAACCTATCTGTCTCTGTCTTAAATACACACAAAGACTCGGCCTCCACAATTTTCTGTGGCAATGAGCTCCACAGATTCACTGCCCTCAGGCTGAAGAAATTCCTCCTCATCTCAGTTCTAAAAGGTCATGGCTTCATATTGGGGCTGTGCCCTCGGGTCCTAGTATATCATACTAGCGGAAACATCACACAGTCCATCCAGGCCACTCAGTATTCTGTAATTTTCAATGAGATCTTCCCTAAACTCCTTCAACTACAGACCCAGGACCCTCAACTGCTCCTTATATGACGAGCCATTCATCCTCAGGATTATTCTTGTTAACCTCCTCTGGACCTGCTCCAGTGTCAGCACATTTTTCCTTAGAGTTTTTTAGGGTCTCAAAACTGCTCACAATATTCCAAATGTGGTCTGACTCCAACCTCAGCAGTAAATCCCTGCTCTTGTATTTTAGTCCTCTCAAAATGAATGTGACATTACATTTACCTTCCTAACCCCCAACTGAACCTGCATGTTAACGTTACAAGTCCAGTTCAGGAGTCTCTTAAGTCACTTTGTGCTTCAGATTTCTGAAGCTTTTCCCCATTTAGAAAATAGTCTATCCCCCCTATTCTTCTGACCAACGTGCACAGCCTCACAGTTTCCCACAATGCACTCTGTCTACCACTTCTTTGCCTACTGTCCTAGCCTGTCCAAGTCATTCCCTGCCCCCTCAACAATACCTATCCCTCCACCTATCTTTGTGTCATCTGCAAACTTAGCAACAACATTCTCAGTTCCTTCATTCAGATCATCAATGTATCATATGAATAGTTTTCCCATCCTGAAGAAGACCCCTCTAACCCCAGCAGCAGACACTGACATAGCTGTGTACTCCCTTGCCAGGGACACTCTAGAGTAGATATAATCAAGGAATGCCCCCATCAAATTCCCACTGCCTAAACCTATTTATGGCTACCTTGGCCAGGCATAGGAACAAACCAGCAGTGGGTTCCTCTAAATAGTATACTCACCTCTACATTAGCTGGCCAAAGCTCAGAAATATGGTATATATCACAAACCGTGTTCTAGATACCTGATCAGTTCCCAGTAAAAGACAGGCTACACCCACAAGGAGACATGAATCCCAAATATATGCACCTTCATGTTGTAATTGAGGCATAATCCTTGATTGTGTTGAGTTTTTTGAGTGTTGTTGGCACTGCACTCCTCTTGACTTGTACCTGAAAAATGTTACAGGCTTTTGAGAATCTAGGGAGCCTCCAAAGAAAACCCAGACCTACTCTTGTAGTCACAATATTTGCATGACAGGTTTAGTCACATTTCTGATCAATGATAACCTCAGGATGTCAATGTTGGGGTGATTCAATAAGGGCAATACTGTTGAATGTCACAGGGAGATGGTTAAATTCTCTCTTGTTGGAGATGGTCATTGTCTGAAACGTACGTAATGCAAATATTATTTATGATTAGCAGCCCTAGCCAGAATGTTGTCCAATCTTGCTTCATGTGGACACAAAAAAACTTCACCATTTGAGGAGGTGCAATTGCTACAAAACAGTCTGCAATTGTTGGTGAACGTCCCCGTGGTATGATGGTGGAAAGGTCTTTGATGAAGCAGAAAATGGCTATACCTAGAAAACTATACTAAGAAACACCTGTTGTGCTTTACTGGAGCTGGGATATACACATAAAAGTGGTTTCCACAGAATTTTTTGCCAAAGTTATGTCAGCATCGTTAGAAATGTCTTAATGATACTTACCTCCTAAAGAAACATGCTGCGGTTAGAAATTTGGATGAAATGAACAAATTGAAGGCTAAAAGAGACACACTCAAGGAATAGGTTTAAGTGTGGAAGAGTTTTTGAATAAATGCAGCATCATGCTTTTGCAATTTCCAAATCAGGGTATGTGTGCACCATGCATGGCTAAACTATAAACGTTATGGACCAAGAAAGGGACCTGGTGTTTATCTGAAAAATACTGGCCACTTTAGTATGGCAGGGTTGTAGAAAAAGCCAACAGAGTGTTATAATGCATAGCTGGTGAAGTGAAATAGAATTCCAGAAAACTAGCACTTACGCTAGATAAGACATTTCAGCATTTCAGCACTGGTCTTACGTATAGGCCTTTTAAATCATGTGTATTATATTATGATATCATACTCACATAATTAGTAATCATACAGCTTTAAATATAACCATATTAGTTAAATTGTATTCATATTATATCATTTAACATTATTCAGACTGCAGAAATTTCATGACAGAGTCAAGCGAAGGGTCTGTTTCTGTGCTGTATGACTCAATGACTATGACTCAAGGAACATCAATTGCAAAAACGTAGGCTTCTAGGCAGATGTAAAAATGGAGTCTTAAAATGAAGGGAAGTAATTCTGATTTGGCCTGATGGTTTTTTAGAGTTGAGTAAAGTGGGATGTTCCAGGGGATACCTGTAGAAATTGATTAAGTTTTTGTAGCTATTTCTTTTTGTATATTATACCTGATGTTTTCAGTTTCTGTTAGATCAGGTTCCGATATAGGTTCTTTGGGTTTCCATTAAAGTTCAGGCCAGATTTCTTAGTTACTGTTAAGCAATGTTTATTGTTACAAATATATTTAAGAAAGGTGGTAAGGAAAGGCAGGGAACTATAGACCAGTGAGCCTGATGTCAGTGGTGGTTAAGTTGTTACAAGGTATTCTGAGGGACATTTACATGTTGGAAAGGATTGAGTTTTTTGAAGAGGTGATAAAGAAGATTGATGAAGGCAGAATGGTAATGTTGTCTATATGAACTTCAGTAAGGCATTTGACAAGGTTCCGCATGGTAGACTGGTTAGGAAGGTTAGAACACACGGAATCCCGGGAGTGCTAGCCGATTGGATTCAAAATTGGCTTGAAGGTAGGAAACAGACCCTGGCGATAGAGGATTGTTTTTCGGACTGGAGGCCTATGACCAGTGGGTTTGCTGTGAGAATACGTGCTGGGTTCACTGCTTTTTGCCATTTATATAAATGATTTGGATGTGAATATAGGAGGAATGGCTAGTAAGTGTGCAGGTGACACGAAAATCGATGGTGTAGTGGACAGTGAAGAAGGTTATCTCACAGTAAAACAGGACCTTGATCAAATGGGCCAATGGGCTGAGGAGCTGAGGAGTGGCAGATGGAGTTTAACTTAGATAAGTGTGAGATGTTGCAGTTTGGTAAGACAAACCAGAGCTAAAAAGTTATAGTTGATAGGGCCCTGGGGAGTGTTGCTGAACAAAGCGAACTAGGGGTGCAGATGCATAGTTCCTTGAAAGTGGAGTCACAGGTCGATGGGGTGGTGAAGGCGGCGTTTGGCATGCTTGCCTTTATTGATTAGTGCACTGATTGGAGGAATTCAGACATCCCATTGCAACTGTACATGACATTGGTGAGGCCGTTTTCAGAATACTGTGTTCAATTCTGGTCTCCCTGCTCTCAGAAAGATGTTATGAAACTTGAAAGGGTTCAAAAGAGTTTTACAAGGATGTTTCAGGATTGGAGGGTTTGAGATGTAGGGAGAAGCTGAAAGGCTGGTACTCTTTTTCCTTGAGCATCAGAGGCTGAGGGGTGACCTTATAGAGGTTTAAAAAATCATGAGGAACACGGATAGGGTGAATAGCCAAGGTTTTTTTCCCACGGTAGGGGAGTCCAAAACTAGAGGGCATAGGATATTTATTGCTCTAAGGAATGTTAACTGGCTAGAGATAGAGCTTCGACCCTTTTGAACCCTCTTACCCTTTATTCCTTTGTACAGAGTTCTGCAATCTCTCTCTATTTAAATAACACGTGGCTTTTCTACTCTTCCTGTCAAAGTTGACAAGTTCACATTTCCCATATTATTCTCTATCTGTCAAATTTTTGCCCATTCATGTAATCTCTCTTATGTCCCCTTGCAGGCTTGTTACATTCTTTACACAACCCATTTTCCATCTTATATTTGCAGCACGATCAAACTTAGCAATCATACTTTCTGTAACTGTTCAAGTCATCAATATGGATTGTGAATAGTTGATCCCTGTAGCACCCCACCAGGTATAGATGGTAACTCAAAAACTGCCCATATGTCTTTACTTTCTTTTTCTTGTTTGCTAACCAATTCTCTATCCGTGCTAATTCGTTACACTAACATCATTAGTGTTTATTTTGTGAACTAACACTTGATGTGGCAACTCATCAAGTGTCTTTTGGAAATCAAAATACATCACATCTATAGATTCCCCCTTGTATACTTTTTTTAATATTTGCTCATGGATGTTAGATCTGCATTTATTGATGTGTTGCTACAATGCATTTTGTAAAATGTTGCTTGTTACTTGCCCAAAGACCTCTAGTCAAATACAATTTGCCTTTCACAAATCTGTGTCAACTCTACTCAATTGCATTAAGATTTCACAAGCGACCTCTTAATAATAGATTCTAGCATATATAGCAAAGGGATCCATAAAGAGACGTTTTAGATTGGAACCAAGAGATCCTCCTTACATAGGGCTTTTGATTTCAGCTCTATTCCGGGAGTAAAATGAATAATGCAGCAAAATTGAGGCTTTGTAATTCCAGAAAAGCACACGAATGATGTAGTTAACCAAAATTATTCCTCCCTTTGTCAGCCATACAGCAGGAACATAATTTCACTAAAACAATTGACTTGCAAGAATTGATTATTTAAAACATCCTTCAGTAATACAATGAAGTCATGCAATTTTTATCATATATTTTAAACTATTTCACCAATGCCATGGGATTTTGATGATTTAAGTGATATGGCACCATATTACAAAAGAATCTCAAAGAATTTAAAATGTGAAATCCAATTTATTATTAGTACTGTACAAAATTAACAGATCTAAGCACTTCAGTCACTTACAAGTTTCTTAATTTATTTACAATCCAATTAAAAGTTGTCAATAAGTAGATTATAAATTCAAATCAAGGTCAGTAAAAGGTACAGGTTGTACTCCATCCAAAATCTGAGCAAAAGAAATGTAAAGAAAATAAATACTTTTCAAGTTTGATTTGCAAAATAAATGAAATTCTGTTAAACAGTTAAGAAAAAGTACAGAGCACTGTGGCAGGGAATGAGACAATCCCAGTCCTTCAGGTTTATTAGAATTCTCTGTAGGAATTCCACAAACATTCTGGTGGTCTGGCTTCCGAATATTTGAATGTGCAATGATTCATACTTATTTTGCTCCAATGATTATATCTTCCTCATCATTACAATCATTTACTTTAGTAATAATCAAGTATGATTTTAGAAGGATCTGCCAGAAGGATTTAAAAAAATAAAGGACAAAGAGCAATACAGCACAGAACAGGCCCTTTGTCCTTCCAAACCTGCACTGCCACACTTTGGACTTCCATACTAAATTCTGTATCCCTCTATTCCCTTCCTATTCATGTATTCGTTTATGTGTTTCTTGAATGCTGCTATTGTGTCTGCTTCCACTACGTCTTCTAGCAATGCATTCCAGGCACTCACCATGCTTTGTGTGAAAAACTTGCCTTGCACATCTCTTTAAAACCTCCTCCCCTCACATCTTGAATCTGTGTCCCATTGTATTTGACCTCTCCACCCTGGGAAAAAGCCTCATACCTTCCACTCTATCCATGCCATTCACAATCATATAAATTTCTATCAGGTCCCCTCTCAACCTCCAGCATTCAAGTGAAAACAAACTCAGTGTATCCAACCTTTCTACATAGCTAAAATCCCCCATACCAGGCTATATCCAGGTAAACCTTTTCTGTACCCCCTCCAAAGTATCCACATCCTTCTGATAATGTGGTGACCAGAAGTGTACACAATATTCCAAGTGTGGCCTAACTAAAGTTCTGTAAAGCCGCAGTATAATTTGCTTATCCTTTTACTCAATGCCCCTTCCAATGAACACAAGCATGCCATAAGCCTTTTTTATTACCTTATCTACCTGTGCTGCCACCTCCAGTGATATCTGTGGACTTGCACACCCAGATCCCTCGGCATATCAAGCACTTCAATCACTTACAAGTTTCTTAATTTATTTACAATCCAATTAAAAGTTGTCAATAAGTAGATTATAAATTCAAATCAAGGTCAGTATATCAATACTCCTAAGGGTTCTGCCATTCACTATATAATTTCCCCCTGTACTTGACCTTCCGAAATGCATCACTGCTATATCTTCTGACAATCCTCCTCACTATCCACAACTCCACCAATCTTTGTATCATTCACAAACTTACTAAATAAACCAGCTACGTTTTCCTCCAAAGCATTTATGTAGACCACAAACAGCAGAGGTCCCAGCACTGATCCCTGTGGAACACCACTAGTTACAACTCTCCATTCCAAAAAGTATCTTTCCACTGCTACCATTTGCCTCCTATGACTAAGTCAGTTCTGTATCCTTCTTGCCAGCTCATTCCTGGTGCCATATGACTTGACCTTTTGCACCAGTCTGCCATGAGGGGCCTTGTCAAAAGATTTACTGAAGTCCATGTAGACAACATCAACTGCTTTTCCATCATCAATCACCTTCGTCACCTCATCAAAAAACTTGATCAAGTTGATGAAACACAACCTCCCCTGCACAAATCGCACTGTCTATTGCTAATAAGTCAGTTTGCTTCGAGATGTGTATAGATTTTGTCCCTGAGAATCTTTTCCAATAATTTCCCTACCATCAATGTGAGACTCACAGGTCTGTAATTTCCAGGATTATCCCTGCTACCTTTCTTAAACAATGGGACAACATTGCTATTAGAAAGATACAAAGAGTCTGTCAATGCTCCAGCAATTTGTTCTCTTGCCTCCCTCAATATTCTGGGATAGATCCCAGTAGGACCCAGGGACACATCTACCTCAAGATGGACAAGACCTCTACCCTTTTCATAGCAACTTGGCCTAGAAACTCGATACTCCATTCCCTGAAATTATTCTCCACCAATTCCTTCTCTTTGGTGAATACCGACACAAAATACTCGTTTATGACCTCACCTACCTCTTCTGGCTCCACAAATAGATTCCATCCTTTATCCTTGAATGGGCCAACCAAGGATTTAAAACTTACTGTAATTATTAATTGGCACAAGTCTGATCTGCTCCAGTAAATCAAATCCCTGGATAGCAACTTCCAAGCCCACAAACACCACCATCTAGAAGGACAAGGGCAACAGATACATGGGAGCACTTCTACTTGCAAGCTCCCTTCCAAGCCACTCACAAACTATACTTTGAAATATACCATCAGTGCTTCAATGTTATTGAGTCGAAATCTTGGAACTTACTCCCTAATGGCGTTGTGGGTGTATCTCAACCGAACAGATTGCAGCAGCTCAAGAAAGCAGCCAACTCAGGACAGACAACAAATCCTGGCCCAGACAGTAACGTCTACATCCCGCGAAAAGTTCTTCAGCATTTTGAAAGAAAATTGTTTCAATCCAACAATTGCTGTCCATAATGAAGAAATTTTGCACCTTGCCAGTGTTCCACTGCTTAAATATAGTTGACTATCCCAAAGTCCAAATTTTACTGCCGTCTATAGTATCAAATTTAAGTAGTTCACACAGTACAACTGATGTTGCAGAAAGTCTATCAAAGGAAATATCACTCACAGGACCAATAAAGCTAGCTAGCATTGTGATCATCAGACAACCAACAGCGATGAAAGCACGTGTTTGACAGAACCGCCATGCTACTCGTCCCAGTGAGGCCTTCTCTCGTCCATGCATCTTCAGTTCATCTTGCCATAGCTTCTCAAATCTGTATCAGTAATCAATGAATGGAATAGATTAACAAATTGGAAATAATACAGGGCACAGTATAATTGTGTCCTTAAATAAAATTTATCAGGACGTTTTTAAGCAACAAACAAATTCACCAATGACTGCAGATCCTCTTTTATAACACAAATTAAGAAGTATCTTTGTACAAGAACCTTGTAATGTCTGTTCTATATTAACACCATGTAGTTGGTGAGGGCATATGATTATGCTCACTCTGTGGTAACCCTGCATGGATATTACCTAAATGAAGAGTGAACTTGCATTCCAACTGGATTACAATCCAGAAAGATTGAAAAGAAAGAGTAATTCTGGAAGATATTGAAACCACCATGTACTATAGAAACTACAATGCTTGGCCTTCCCTGAAAATACGAATCGTACAAAAATCAATTAAATTGTAAGCATTCCTTTCTTACAGTCCAAAGGCATTAAGTAAAGAACTTTTATGCTAATATCTGATAATATCACACATTCCTATTTCTGAATGGTCCACAGAAGTTCACATCAAACAGCCTTTCACGAAATCCAGTAATATATTTCCGGAAAATGTAGTATTGCGAAAGGAGATAGTAATTACATAAACTTATTGCAGCAGCAATGAAATATATAGAGAGAAAAAGAAAAAGGAAATTGATGTAAAATTACAAAAAACATATTTCAAAAACTTGCATAGGTTTGCTCCTGTTGTTTACAATTCTGCATCAGCATTTAACCTAAGTAAACATTTAGAAGCCTATTTATAAATAATTATCTACAAGAATATATATTTTTATATTTAATGAATGAGCACCTGCTTCCCCAAAACTCGATTACAGCTGTTAAGGTCCAAATAATTTACTAATTTCCAGAGTGATCCACCACAACTTTGAGTTTGAATACCGAGGGAAGACTTAATTAATTAAGTTCAAGTTGATGTTCTCGTTCTGAATCTACTTTGATTGTATGTGTTTGGGATTTGGTTATTGACATACTGATTCTTCTGTACCTATATGTATAGTTCATTGATGCCTGGTTGGCAAATCATATCATATCCTGTTTGACCTGTTAGTTGCTAAAATTTATCAAGGCTGCACTTATTCAAGAAGTTAATCATCAGCTGGCCTGCAGGCAAAGCTTTGTTCCGTCCTCGTCGACACTGATTAAAAAAAAAAGCATTTACGTAGCTCATATTTATTAATACACTAATTGCATTTGGTCTGCTAGCCCTGAGTTTAGGCTACATTTATTTATATATTTTATTCAATTAATTAATTTCCTGCTAGTCTGTCATTCCTGAAGCTTGGGTTTTTCTGTTCATATATTTTTGTCTGAAATAAAACGGGATACTTATTTTTAACAGATTATATAACACCACAATATTTCTGTTAATGGCAGATTTTAAACAAAGCTGAAGAAGAGTTTTAGGGATACAACATTGTTATCCATGAATGTCCGATTAAAAGGTTAGTATTGTTATAATAAATGGTTTACTTCTTATGTTTGTAAGGATATAAGTCATCACAAGAAAACAAAAAGAACTCAAAGGGTTTGATAACGGACAGAGAGTTATACCTGAAATAACTGATTGCCAGGCTGATCTATTAGAGTGGCTTTTATCAAGGAGTGTCATCTTTTCAACTTTGAGACCAGTTAGACACGTCAGTGCGAATCTTACCCACTTGCAGGTATTCTATTTGTTTCTCCAGCAATTATACCTGAGCTTGCAAAATTTATTAATTGTCATCAGTTCAGAATATTTTAAAAATACAAAGTCAGCAATGACTTATTAAACTTATTCCTGTTGTTTCTGTGGGTGCAAAAGGTAATTTGCATTCATTTCAGATGTTACTTCAATATAAACTACTGCAGTTGTAGATTTTGTGTAATAATACTAAAACTAGTTTATAATTCATTTTCTATTTTGAAATGGAAAGCATTTTCTCTAATTTTAAGCTTTTTAAAAAATGTAAATAATAGGAGATATCAGCAGAGTAAAACATAGTGGGGAAGCAGAAGAGGGAGTGGTCACTCCTTTACAGTACTGTATTGAAGTATCATTTGGTCTGTGGTAGTTTCTGCATGGAACTTGAACACTTAACAACAATTTGACTCAAAGATCAGTTTGCTACCACTGCATCAAGGATAACACTTAACAGAAAACTATACAAATATTTGAAGACAATTATTAAAGAATGCAACAAAGCAGCATGGGAATGGGACTGAAACAAATAGCTTCAATCTTGAGCTAGCAACTGCTCGGGTCAAAAGGGTTCCTTCCGACGAAATTGCCATATACCGTGTTATTGTCAGTGGAATTCAAAAATAATGTACAATGAATAACTTTGAGAGTTTCAGCAAGGTGGAAAGATGTTATGCAAGTGCAAACATCATACATTTTCATTTCTGCAATTTGAGGATTCATATCCATTATCAGGGAATGCATTGTATATAGACCAATACATGGGCTACCATATGATCAAAGGTAGTAAACTCTTCCCAGTACTTCTGTTTCTCCCACTTCCAATGCTCTAAGTTGATGAGATCTATTACACCATTTCACATCTGTATTATGCCCTTTTCTGCAGAAAAATGTGTCTGAAAGTGAGTAATGAATAGAATAAGATTTTTGAGAAACTGTAAAGTCTAATGAAGTATAATGGATTATCTTGCCAGATATTGATGAAAATATGACAAGATAACTATTAAGGGAAAATGTTACACTAGAAAATAAATTCCTCCAGTTATTTTGTTTAGAGCACAAAGTGGCAGAAACAAGTTTATTGCATGTAACTTTGAAGAGAATAAGTTCCTAAGTTGTTGTTATCTTCAATTCCAGTTTCTCTAAATTCTTGGAAATCTTTGAAGTCTGAGTGAGATATTCTATTAATAACTATTAGGTTTGCATGTAGTTTTAAACTCTACTGGTCTTTATCTATTACTTCTCCTCGAATTTCTGAGATCAATTAGCAATTGTGTTAAAGAAAACTGTTGACCTGAACAACATGTGTTAAAATCAAATTTATTAGTAAACTAGATATAGCCATGACAAAAATTTCATGAATACCATTCGTAAAACAGATAAATAATATGATTCTAAGATAATAGACCAAAATAATTATAGACTGCTGTTGGTGATGTATAGACTGCATAATACCAGAGTAATATCTGAAAATTGAATGACTATTGCATGAAAATGTTTCGTCTTAGCTAATATATTTCAGCCAACACTCGCCTGGGAAATGTGGTTCAAAACCAGACAATTTGGTTGTGTGAGTGCATGAATTCAGTCTACCACCCATTCATCCCCAGCATTTATTGTGGAAGTGCCAATTCAAAGTATCCTTTTATTTTTAGATCCCATATGGATACCTTTTTGGATTTAGGAGATGCATTAATTTTAAAGGAAATTACTCATATCGCACAACAGCAAACATAAGGATACAACAGTGGCATTAACTCATGATCTGGTTTGGATATTTATGCCTTTTATAGAAATGCTTTCTCAATATTTCTGAAAACAGATCACCATTTTAAGGGATGCAGACTTGTGAATTGTTTACTCAAGAGAGAATAATATTAGTTTAATATTGTAACTTCAGGCATATTTTCAAAATTGTGAGAAGACATATCTAACTTTAAAGGCAACCTTTCAAACTTCCTGTCAAAAACTGCCAATAAAAAACCCAAAATGTGAAAACAGATTGAACAGTTAAATGAATTTATTAGAATTCTTTGAGGATATAATCAACAAGGTGGATAACTAGGGACCAATAGATATTGTGTACTTGAATTTCCAAAAGGCATTCGATTACATAAAAGATTACTACTCCAAACAAAAGTTCATGGTATTGGGGATAATATATTTGCATGGATAGAGAACTGGCTAACTAACAGAACAGGCTGTCAGGATATGTGGGTCATTTACAGTTAGGAAACTTTACTAATTGGGTGCCGTAGGGATCAGTGCCGAGAACTCAATTACTTGCAATCTATGTTACAGTTTTGGAATAAGGAGCCAAATAATTGTAGCCAAATTAAGTGATTACATAGACAGGGATAAGTAATGTGAATTATGAAGACAATAAAACCCAGACTTTTCCAGTATGCTATGGGTCCCATTGAATGGATCAGATATGTGTCCCAAGCCCAGGTTGATGAATGACAGGATGCCAGACGAGATTTTACTACTGGTGGCCAATTATGAAGTTGCTGCTAGAATAGCCATGGTCTTGTTGAATCATATAGCAGGTTTGAGGATTTGCGTGCCTTTTGCTTCTAGTTCAGTTTCATCTATGACTACAAAAATATAGAGATATTGGAAATATTTACAACAACCCAATTGACTTATCCCTTCTACAATACTGTTAAAAGTGAAAATTCTAAGGATTTGACAATAGTTTCATGGCTAAATTAATCATTTGGAATGTCGGTCAGCTATTAAAGACAAGAAGGACCTACATTTCATCATATCAACCAGTGTTGGCATACCGCTCAGGGTCTTAAGAGTTGCAATATTATAAACAGAAAAAAACAATTATCCAACAAGTTTAGTGCTGCTATCCAGTATCCTACTTTGGAAGAGGTGTGTTTGTGGATGTTGGTTGAAGATAGGATTCTGACACAGCTATAATGCAATACTTGGCAAAACAGAATTTCACGTCTCACTACCAAGAATCATCTATAAACAAATGAAGACTGTCTGTTGTATAGGCTATTGGAGGATATCTGGCACCCATGAAATTATATCCTAGTTTCTTCAAAAGCAGAGCAGAAAATCATTGGGTAAGAATTCTGGTACTTTGAAAAACATTTTTTTTTTGTGATTGAACAATAAATTAACGCCCCAAGCAATATTGCTCCTTGTAAGTTTTCTCATTTAGGTACCTGTTGTCATCCATGATGCAATTTTAAAATATTTAAAATAAAGCTTGTATTTTGTTTCAATCCAAGAGAACAATTTTACCAGTGTCATATTTCAATACCACAATACAGCTTTGGGTGTACAGATTAGAAATCCTTCCTACAGATGCACAGCTCCATTTAACTTCAAAATGTAAAATCTCATGGATGATACAAATCAGTCTTAGCCCAGACATGGCATTACGTTCATATGTCTGAATTAGGTGCTGGAGTAGGCCCTTCAACCCCACAAGCCTGCACCATTCGCTAAGATTGTAACTTATCTGATGTTGGCCTTAACTCGTCTTTCCTGTATACTCCAAACACTCTCTTAATTTATTGTCAGTCAAAAATCTCTTTACTGATGCCTTAAAAATATTTAATGACCCTGCCTAAGAAATGTTGTAGCCAATTTGCACACAGTCAGTTCCTACAAACATGGATATGACAACTGCCAAATAATCTGTCTTTGTCCTGTTGATTGAGGGTTAAGTAATGGCCAGGATGTGTGGAGCAATTCCATTTTTTATTTCAAAATATTGGTCTGAGAGAATAGATGAGGCCTTCGTTTAGTTTAATCTTTCATTTGAAAGACAAGACCTCCAACAACACATCTCTCCTAAAATATGGTACATAAATACTAGCTTTTTATATTCAAAAATACGTTGCAACAACATCTTCAAATAGTCAGTTAAAATGGCCCAAAAGGATTCATGAAATTTGATACTTTCTGGCTTTTGGGCTAACATGGGTGATATGGAAGTGTGGTAACATCACTGGACTAGTAATCCATAGGTCTTGGGCTAATATTGTTGGGAGAGGTTCAAATCCCACCCGAGCAACTGGTTGAATTTAAATTCAATTAATAAATTCACTTAATTAATCAAAAGAAATCTGGATTTAAAGCTAGTCTCACTATTAGTGGCCATGAAATCATCATTGATTGTTGGAAAAAGGGTCACTGGACCCAAAACATTAACTCTGCTTTCTCACCACAGATATTGCCAGACCTGCTGAGATTTTCCTGCAATTTATGATTTTGTTTCCGATTTCCAGCATTTGCAGTCTTTGGTTTTTTTTCCACCTAGTTCACTAATATCTTTGAGGGAAGGAAATCTGCTGTCTTACCTAGTCTGGCCTACAGAATAGAACAGGTTACTTTGATCACCAATTTATGGAATTACTAAAATGGCATGACAAAAGGCAGTATCAGAAGTCAGTTGCCTGGAAATTACAGACACTCTTACCGTCGAGAATTTAATTCAGAGGATTCATTGGAGGACAAATTCCAAAGGTCTGTCATTTCCAGTTGTGAATACTTGTAGGCCTTCCATGCTAAAGGAGAAAGCCAGTTCAATGTCATGAAAGAGAATAGGCCTGAGTTGTCAATTGGATGCTTGTGCCTGAAAGAAAGGGGTACTTATTAAAATTGACATCAGCTGGACATTTCTTAATAATCTTACATGAGTATATCCTAAATAACATATTAAACAAGTAAAGATTTTTTACTCTGGATCAGGCTTCCCAAAGTGGGAGTCAGGACTTCAAGTGGAGTTGCAAGCTGAAATTTTGGGATTGCAAACTCTAAGGCAGTGATTACCAAGAAGGAGCTCTAACTAAGTTATTACAACAACACACCTCCTCCAACAGTAAGGTCTCCATTTTTCCAGGCCACCTATCTCCCTCAATCTCACAGATAACTCTCACTTAAGGTCTCACAGAGGAGTCGCAAAATTTTCAAACTTCAATATGGGGCTGCAATGGAAAAATGTTTGGGAAGCACTGCTCTGGATGATTAATATCATAACCATAACTGATTTTTTTTATTAACTGAAGTATTGGAATGTACAATATTATCTTGTGTTTTATTAAAAATCTTCAGTAATAAAGGAATGCTACCATTATATTGTACATTTCAGCAGGATTGTTTTCTTAGGCAGCTGTATGTTATGCTTATTGGTCTGTGCTATGTTGATCACTTATCAATGACAAAGGCCATGCCAACAACTATGTGGCTAGGTCCCAATTGGCTGAATCATTTGTGGGTGAAAATGTTTGATCAGAAACTATCAGATCTCTGAAAAGCAAGGAGTTGTGCTTTGCTCTGAAATACAAAAATGCCTCAAGCCTGAAGCCCAGTTTATTTCACCTCATCAGTTGCTGTAAGAGATAACAAAGTGCAGAGCTGGATGAACACAGCAGGCCAAGCAGCATCAGAGGAGCAGGAAAGCTGACGTTTCAGGTCTGGACCCTTCCTTTTAACCAACTGGTCAGAACCATTCTAAGTTGCAAACCTGTCACTCTGTGCCTCCTGCAAAAATGAAACCATCTGGATAAGTAAATCCTAAATGCACCAGATATTGACAAGCCATAGGGATCATTTCAGAGACTCCTGTGGACAAGGACCAGTGAACTGCCTTCCCAGTTTTCCCCACCTTCATAACACCCATTTTTATTGTGTCTTTGTGTATATATATGTAAGGGGAAGCTATATAAGGAGTTACAGTTTTAACTTGTAGAGTTCCACATTGGCAGTTCATGATCTTTTATCTGTTGCTAGAATCTATTTATTTGGAATAAATAATACTTCCTGTTAAGTACAGAAAGCTAGTCTAAGCCCTTTGTTAATCTTGGTCTAAAAGGCTAGCAAATTAGGAAATTTGACTACTTTTTATAAAGTCTTTAACTTTTGTGACAACTCCAGGATTAGAAGAGCTTGATCTCCAGCATGCTATCCCAGTTCCCATTGACTCCAGTTTTGCTCAGGTTCCTTGATGCCACACTCAAATGCGGCCTTGATGTCAAGGGCTGTCACTCTCATTTCACGTCTGGAATTCAGCTATTTGGCCCATGTTCCATGTTTGAAGGAAGGCTATAATGAGGTCGGGAGCTGAGTAGCTCTGGCGAAGTCCAATCTGAGTGTCAGTGACCAGGTGCTGCATGATAGCACTGTTGACGATAACTTCCGACACTTTATTGATGATCGAGAGCAGGTTGATGGGGAGGGTAATTGGCCGGTTGGATTTGTTCTTTTTTTTTTGTCTACAGAACATACTTGGACAATTTTTCACATTGTCAGGTAAATGACAGCGGCTTCACTGTACTGGAACAACTTGGCTAGGGTTGTGTCAAGTTCTGAAGCCTTTAGTATTATTGTTGAAATGTTATTAGGCTCTTTGCAGCATCCATTGTCTCTAACCATAGCTTGATATCATATGAAGTGAATCAAACTGGTTGACAATTGTTGTGAATACTTCAGCCATTGGTGATAGTGATATTTGTGGAACCTCCTCTTTCAGTGAGTTGTTTAATTGTTCACCACCATTCACAACTGATGTGTAGGACTGCAGAGCTTATCTGATCAGATCTGATCCATTGGTTGTGGAATTGCTTAGCTCTGTTTACCATTTGTTGCTTATGCTCTTTGGCATGCAAATTGTCCTGTTTTGTAGCTTCACCAGGTTGACATCTCATTTTTAGGTATGCCTGGTGCTGCTTCTGACATACCCTCCTGCACTCTTCATTGAACCAGAGTTGATCACTGGCTTGATGGTAATGGTTGAGAGGTGGTATGCCTTTCCATGAGGTCGCAAGTTGTCTCAGAGTCATGCAGCATAGAAACAGATCCTTCAGTCCAACTAATCCATTAAATCATATTCCTAAACTAAACTAGTCACACTTGCCTGCATTTGGCTCATATCCCTCCAAACCTTTCCCATTCATGTACTTATCCAAATGTCTTTTAAATGTTGTAACTGTACCTGTATCCACCAATTCTTCTGGCAGTTCATTCCACACATGAGCTTCTCTCTACATAAAAATGTTGCCCCTCATGTTCTTTTTAAAACTTTCTCCTCTCACGTTAAAAATTTGATCCCTAGTTTTGAACTTCCCACCTTAGGGAAAAGACACTTGCTATTCATCTTAGATAGTAGGAACTGCAGATGCTGGAGAATCCAAGACAACAAGGTGCAGAGCTGGATCATTTTCTGATGAAGGGTCGAGGCCCAAAACGTCAGCCTTTCTGCTCCTATGATGCTGCTTGGCCTGCTGTGTTCATCCAGCTCTGCACCTTGTCGTCTGCTATTCATCTTATCTATATTGATTTTATAAACCTCTATAAGGTCACCCCTCGACCTCCTATGCTCCAGTGAAAAAAGTTCCGGTCTGTCCTTATAACTCAAACCCTCCATTTCTGGTAAATCTTTTCTGAACCCCCTCTAATTTAATAGTATTCTTCCTATTTCAGGGGAACCAGAACTGCACACAGTACTCCAGAAGAAGCCTCACCAATATTCTGTACAAGCACAACATGATGTCCCAACTCCTAAATTCAACAGTCTGAGCAATAAAAGCAAGCATGCTAAACACCTTTCTAACCACTCTGTATACCTGTGACGCAAATTTCAAAGAATTATGTACCTGAGCCCCTAGATCTCTCTATTCTACAACACTACCCAGGCCCTACCATTACTTGGTAGTCCTGCCCTTGATTGTTTTACCGAAATGCAATACTTCACATTTTCCAAATTAAACTCCATCTGCCACTCCTCAGCCCATTGACCCAATTGATCAAGATCGCTTTGTAATATTCGATAACTGTCTCACTGTCCATCTTATATTGGAGTATGATTCAGTTGCTGCTGATGGCTCACTGCACCTCACAGATTCCCAGTTTAAAGTTGCTAGATTTGTTTGAAGTCTGTCCCATTCAGTACAGTGATAGTGCCACACACCTGATGTAAGGTAATAGAACATAGAACATAGAACATTACAGCGCAGTACAGGCCCTTCGGCCCTCGATGTTGCACCGACCTGTGAAACCAATCTGAAGCCCATCTAACCTACACTATTCCATTATCATCCATATGTTTATCCAATGACCATTTAAATGCCCTTAAAGTGGGCGAGTCTACTACTGTTGCAGGCAGGGCATTCCACGCCCTTACTACTCTCCGAGTAAAGAACCTACCTCTGACATCTGTCCTATATCTATCACCCCTCAATTTAAAGCTATGTCCCCTCGTGCTAGCCATCACCATCCGAGGAAAAAGGCTCTCACTGTCCACCCTATCTAATCCTCTGATCATCTTGTATGTCTCTATTAAGTCACCTCTTAACCTTCTTCTCTCTAACGAAAACAGCCTCAAGTCTCTCAGCCTTTCCTCATTAGACCTTCCCTCCATACCAGGCAACATCCTGGTAAATCTCCTCTGCACCCTTTCCAATGCTTCCACATCCTTCCTATAATGCGGCGACCAGAACTGTACGCAATACTCCAAGTGTGGCCGCACCAGAGTTTTGTACAGCTGCAACATGGCCTCATGGCTCCGAAACTCAATCCCTCTACCAATAAAACCTAACACACCGTACACCTTCTTAACAACCCTATCAACCTGGGTGGCAACTTTCAGGGATCTATGCACATGGACACCGAGATCTCTCTGCTCATCCACACTACCAAGAATCTTACCATTAGCCCAGTACTGTGTTCCTGTTACTCCTTCCAAAGTGAATCACCTCACACTTTTCCGCATTAAACTCCATTTGCCACCTCTCAGCCCAGCTCTGCAGCTTATCTATGTCCCTCTGTAACCTGCAACATCCTTCCGCACTATCCACAACTCCACCAACTTTAGTGTCATCCGCAAATTTACTAACCCATCCTTCTACGCCCTCATCCAGGTCATTTATAAAAATGACAAACAGCAAGGCCCCAAAACAGATCCTTGCATAACACCACCAGTAACTGAACTCCAGGATGAACATTTCCCATCAACCACCACCCTCTGTCTTCTTACAGCTAGCCAATTTCTGATCCAGACCGCTAAATCACCCTCAATCCCATGCCTCCGTATTTTCTGCAATAGCCTACCATGGGGAACCTTATCAAACGCTTTACTGAAATCCATATACACCACATCAACTGCTTTATCCTCATCCACCTGTTTGGTCACCTTCTCAAAGAACTCAATAAGGTTTGTGAGGCACGACCTACCCTTCACAAAACCGTGTTGACTATCCCTAAGCAAATTATTCTTTTCTAGATGATTATAAATCCTATCTCTTATAATCCTTTCCAACACTTTACCCACAACCGAAGTAAGGCTCACTGGTCTATAATTACCAGGGTTATCTCAACTCCCCTTCTTGAACAAGGGGACAACATTTGCTATCCTCCAGTCTTCTGGCACTATTCCTGTAGACAATGACGACATAAAGATCAAAGCCAAAGGCTCTGAAATCTCCTCCCTAGCTTCCCAGAGAATCCTAGGATAAAACCCATCCGGCCTAGGGGACTTATCTATTTTCACACTTTCCAGAATTGCTAACACCGCCTCCTTATGAACCTCAATCCCATCTAGTCTAATAGCCTGTATCTCAGCATTCTCCTCGACAACATTGTCTTTTTCCTGTGTGAATACTGACGAAAAATATTCATTTAGCGCCTCTCCTTTCTCTTCGGGCTCCATGCACAACTTCCCACTACTGTCCTTAACTGGCCCTAATCTTACTCAGTCATTCTTTTATTCCTGACATACCTATAGAAAGCTTTAGGGTTTTCCTTGATCCTACCTGCTAAAGACTTCTCATGTCCCCTCCTGGCTCTTCTTAGCTCTCTCTTTAGGTCCTCCCTGGCTAACTTGTAACTCTCAAGTGCCCTAACTGAGCCTTCACGCCTCATCTTTACATAAGCCTCCTTCTTCCTCTTGACAAGAGATTCAACTTCTTTAGTAAACCACGGTTCCCTCTCTCGACCACTTCCTCCCTGCCTGACAGGTACATACTTATCAAGGACACAAAGTAGCTGTTCCTTGAACAAGCTCCACATTTCAATTGTGCCCAGCTCCTGCAGTTTCCTTCTCCATCCTATGCATCCTAAATCTTGCCTAATCGCCTCATAATTGCCTTTTCCCCAGCTATTACTCTTGCCCTGCGGTATATACCTATCCCTTTCCATCGCTAAAGTAAACATAACCGAATTGTGGTCACTATCACCAAAGTGCTCACCTACCTCCAAATCTAACACCTGGCCTGGTTCATTACCCAGTACCAAATCCAATGTGGCCTCGCCTCTTGTTGGCCTATCTACATACTGTGTCAGGAAACCCTCCTGCACACATTGGACAAAAACTGACCCATCTAAAGTACTTGAACTATAGTGTTTCCAGTCAATATTTGGAAAGTTAAAGTCCCCCTGTTACTTTTGCTCCTATCCAGTATCATCTTTGCAATCCTTTCCTCTACATCTCTGGAACTTTTCAGAGGCCTATAGAAAACTCCCAACAGGTGACCTCTTCCTTCCTGTCTCTAACCTCAGCCCATACTACCTCAGTAGTCGAGTCCTCATCAAACGTCCTTTCTGCCACCGTAACACTGTCCTTGACTAATAATGCCACACCTCCCCCTCTTTTACCACCTTCCCTGATCTTACTGAAACATCTAAACTCCGGAACCTGCAACAACCATTCCTGTCCTTGCTCTATCCATGTCTCCGAAATGGCCACAACATCGAAGTCCCAGGTACCAACCCATGCTGCAAGTTCACCCACCTTATTCCAGATGTTCCTGGCGTTGAAGTAGACACACTTCAAACCACCTTCCTGCCTGCCGGTACGCTCCTGCGACCTTGAAACCTTATTCATGACCTCACTACTCTCAACCTCCTGTACACTGGAGCTACAATTCAGGTTCCCATCCCCCTGCTGAATTAGTTTAAACCTTCCCGAAGAGCATTAGCAAATTTCCCCCTCAGGATATTGGTACCCCTCTGGTTCAGGTGTAGACCATCCTGTTTGTAGAGGTCCCACCTACCCCAGAATGAGCCCCAATTATCCAGGTATCTGAATCCCTCCCTCCTGCAATATCCCTGTAGCCACGTGTTCAACTGCTCTCTCTCCCTATTCCTTGCCTCGCTCGCATGTGGCACGGGTAACAAACCAGAGATAACAACTCTGTTTGTTCTAGCTCTAAGCTTCCACCCTAGCTCCTTGAATTTCTGCCTTACATCCTCATTTCTTTTCCTACCTATGTGGTTGGTGCCTATGTGGACCACGACTTGGGGCTGGTCCCCCTCCCCCTTAAGGATCTCGAAAACACGATCCGAGACATCACAGACCCTGGCACCTGGGAGGCAACACACCAACCGCAAGTCTCTCTCGTTCCCACAGAACTATGGAGTCCCCAATGACTAATGCTCTCCTCCTCTCCCCGCTTCCCTTCTGAGCAACAGGGACAGACTCTGTGCCAGACACCTCTACCCCATGGCTTACCCCTGGTAAGTCGTTCCCCCCCCCAGCAGTATCCAAAACGGTATACCTGTTATTGAGGGGAACGGCCACAGGGGATCCCTGCACTGTCTGCCTGTTCCCTTTCCGTCCCCTGACTGTAACCCATCTACCTTTTTCCTGTACCTGAGGTGTGACTACCTCCCTGTAACTCCTCTCAATTACCCCCTCAGCCTCTCGAATGATCCGAAGTTCATCCAGCTCCAGCTCCAGCTCCAGTTCCCTAACGCTGTTTCCAAGGAGCTGGAGTTGGGTGCACTTCCCACAGATGAAGTCAGTGGGGAATTTAATCTAATCTCAAGGTGTAGGTGGGATTTCATCTCCACAAGGACAGTACAGTGATCATTCATAGAATCCATCATAGAATAGAATCCTAGAATTCCACAGTGTGGAAGCAGGCCATTTGGCCGATCAAGTCCACACCAACCCTTCCAAACAGCATCCCACCCAGATCCACACCCCCTAACCTATAACCCTGCATTTCCTATAGCTAACCCACCTCGCCTGCACAACCATGGACACTGGGCAATTTAGCATAGCCAATCCACCTAACCTGCACAACTTTGGACTGTGGGAGGAAGCCAGAGCACCCAGAGGAAAACCACGCAGACACAGAGAGCGTGTCCAAATTCCACACAGACAATCTTACCAATACTGCCATGGTGAGACTGACTAGAGGGAAAAAAAATATTTAACCTTGTCTAGTTGTTTCCCTCACTACCTGCTGCATACCCATTCTAGCAGCAAGGTCCTTTCAGACTTGACCTGTTTGATCAGTAGTGCTGGTGCCAAGCCACTCAAAGTGGACATTGAAATCCTCCACCAAGATGACATTCTGTGCCCTTGCCACCCTCAGTGCTTTCTCCAAGAGTGGTCAACATGGAGGAGCACTGATTCATCAACTGAGGGAGAATGGCATATGTTAATCATCAGGAGGCTTCCTTCCCCATGTCTGACCTGGTATCATGAGATTTCATGGCATCTGGAGTCAATGTTGAGGACTCCCAGGGCAAATTCCTCCTGTCTGTATAGCATTGTGCTGCCAACTCTGGTGGGTTTGTCTTGCCAGTGGGAAAGGATATATCCAAGATGGTGATGGTGATAAAAATTAGAAATTTCTGGAAAAAACATCTGCACTTCTGAAGAAGGGTCACTGGACACAAAACATTAACTCTGCTTTTTCTGCACAGATGCTGCCAGACCTACTGAGTTCTTCCTACAATTTCTTTCTGATTTCCAGTATCCATAACTGTGTTTTGTTTTCTTGTACGGTGATGGTGGTGTCCAGGAACTCGCTGTAAGTTTTAATTCCATGAGTAAAGATTATGTCAGGCTGTTGAACTTCAGCATTGGTGCTCCATATAAATTAGTGTTGACGTCTTCTCAATTACAAGAAATTCTAGAAGTATGAGCTGTATATCACCCTCGTCAAGGTCCCAAATATAGGGTATCACCACATAATGTGGATATAAACTATGACAAATTCTGACTTCCTTTGTTAGAATAAAGCCCTTGTTCTATCACCTCCTTACTTAAAAGATTAATATGTTGCCTCCATCATCGCGAATTGCATTTTTTTTTTCTTGCTCAAATGACAATTTAAATTTCAAATGTCCCTTCTAACTTATAGGTACAATCAATCTGCAAAATCTGTTCCTTAACACAGACATATTTCATATTTGATCGTCTTCTTGGAATCCCTTACTGTTTGCACGGTTGGAAGGGGATGTGAAGGGTTGGGGTAGCATGCAGTTGGCTACATTTGGCAAATTAAACACGGTTAGTCATGTACCTGCACAGTCACTCCTGTGAAAGGTTAATAAATTATACATTAAGATGTCAAAATGCGTGTCACAAAACTGGCTACATTTGTGCAACATGGATTGGGGCCATTGAACACTGGCTACCAATATTATATTTGCCTTCACTATGTAAGCAACTGTGCTCCTTCTAATCATGTAATGTCCCTACCTCTGAGCCAGAAGGCCTGGATTCAAGTCCCACCTGGAGATATGTTACAACAAGTCGATTAGAAAATTTCTAGATCTGCATATTCAATATATTTCCCCACCTGTATCTCACAGTTACATCACACAGATCAAAAAGCCTTAGTTGCTCATCCTACTCAATTTCCCTTGGGTGAAACAGCTTGTCTGGATTTCCTCAAACTGTATGGTGCCTTTCTGCTACTTCTGTTCTGGTCTGAAATAATTACTTACTTATGTGTTGTTCGGAAGGGTTTGAATAGGTGGAGGCTTTGGTGGTACTTCCCCTTGAACACTTTTTCATCTTCCTCTAGTATCCGCAGGTTAGAGTTAGCAGAATCTCTGCAAGGAAACTCTTCTTGACATGGTACTTCAGGTGCATTTGCATAAAACACCTGATTCTGAAAAAGAGAAAAACACAGCTGTAGGGTCAGAATAAATATGTAAATTATGTTGAAGAATGCTTTATTTCTTCTACTATGCTGAATCAGAATACTTTATTTCTTCTACTATACTGAATCAATCGCATTTTATTCAGTGGTGACATTTGAAGAAACTGAATGCTATGTTGGGTTAGCTATTGGGATTTAGATTTGAATTCAATGCAGATTGTCAGAATGGAAATCTGTTTGTTGGCTGCCCATCCAAATCAAATTTATTTAGGCAATTTGATCAGTTTCTATTGGAAGATTATACAGATAATCTCGGGGAGGCAATGGCCTAGTGGTATTATCGCTAGACTGTTAATCCAGAGGCCAAGATAACATTCTGGGGACCCGGGGTCAAATCTCGCCATGGCAGATGGTGGAATTTGATGTCAATAAAATATCTGGAATTAAGAATCTAATGATGACCACGAATCCATTGTCGGAAAAACCCATCTGGTTCACTAATGTCCTTTAGGGAAGGAAACTGCCATCCTTACCTGGTCTGGCCTACATGTGACTCCAGACCCACAGCAGTGTGGTTGACTCTCAGCTGCCCTCTGGGCAATTAGCCAGCAATGCCCTCATTCCATAATGAATAATAAAAAGGTTAAAATTGTTTGTAATTTCATATCAAACAAAGAATCTCTTAATTAGCCAATATTGGTGAACTCCACCTGACATGGAGCTCCTGAAATGGGATGATGGGATAATTTAACATCACTAACATCATTCAAGAAGATAGAGTCATACAGTCATACAGCAGGGAAACAGATTCTTCAGTCCAACCAGTCCTTACCAACTATAATCTAAACTAAACTAAGTCCCACGTCTGCTTCTGGCCCATATCCTTCCAAACTTTTCCTATTCATATATCCATCCAAATGTCTTTTAAATGTTGTAATTGTACCTGCATCCACTACTTCATCAGGAATAAACATACGAACCACCTTCTGCTTAAAAAATTAGTCTTTTTAAAATCTCTCTCCTCTCACCTTAAAATGTGCCCCCAGTCTTGAAATTCCCCATCTTAGAGAAAAGACAACTACCATCAACTCTATCTATACCTCTCATTACTTTATAAACTTCTATCAGGTCACCTCTCAACCTGCTACCCTCCAGTGAAAAAAGTCGCAGCCTTTCCTTATAACTCAAACCTTCGATACCCAGCAACATCCTGGTAAATTTCTTCTGAACCCTCTCCAGCTTGATAATATCCTTCCTATAATTGGGTGATCACAACTGGACACCGTATTCCAGAAGAGGTCCACCAATGTCCTGTACAACCTCAAAATGTCCAAACTCCTACACTCAAAGGACCGAGCAATGAAGGCAATCATGCCAAATGCCTTCTTAACCATCCTGTCTATATGTGACACAAACTTCAAAGAATTATGCACCTGCACCCCGAGGTCCCTCTGTTTTACACCACTACCCAAGGCCCTACCATTTACTGTATAAGCCCTACTCTTGTTTGTTGTACCAAAATGCAAGAACTCACAATTATCCAGATTGAACTCCATCTGCCATTTTTCAGCCCATTGATAAATACAAACTAAAATGTGGCAGTTAATCTTTCAAAATTTGGCAGGTGAAGTTTTATGGCAGGATCAGTGTGAGGTTATCCATTTGATCAGAGGAATAGGCAGGCGACTTATGATCTAAATAGACAGAAGCTTCAGGGTGTTTTGGTGCAGCAGGATCTGGGTGTCTATGTGCATTAATTGCAGAAAACTAGTATGCAGGTATAGCAGTTAACAAGGAGGCAAATGGAATTTTGGCATTTATTGCTAAAGGAATAGGTATAATGTAGGGAAGTGTTGCTGCAACTGTACAAGACATTGGTGTGTCTGCACCTGGAGTGCTGCGTACAATTTTGATCCTGTTCCTTGAGGAAGGATGCAATTGTATTGGAGGTAATTCCGAGGAGGTTCACTGGATTTATTCCAGCGATGAATAGCGCAGTTTAGGGCAATAATCTTTGAAGTTTAAAAGAATGAGAGGAGATCTAATTGAGTTGTATAAGATGCAATCAAGAATTGACAACATAGATGTAGAAAGGATATTTCCTCATTTGGGGCAATCTAGAATGAGAGGTCATAGTTTTTGGACAAGGGTTAGTAGGATTAAAACAGAAATGAGGAGAAATTACTTCTCTCAAAGAGTTGCGACTCTATGGAATTCACTAGCTCAGAGTGCAGTGGATGCTGGAACATTGAGAAAGTGTAACAAGTTGATCGAAAGATTTTTAATTAGAAATGGATTGAAGGGTTATGGAGCACAGGCAGGAAAGTAGAGTTGAAGCCCAAGATACGATCAACCATGATCCAATCAAAAAGCCTGAAGTCACATAACACCAGGTTATAGTCCAATAGGTTTATCTGAAATCACAAGCCTTTGTAGCGCTGCTCTTTCATCAGATGAAGTGACTTTGTCCACCTCAGTCCAACACCAGCACCTCCACATCATGGTTATCAAAATGTAAAGCAGGCTCAAAGAGCTGAATTGCCTAATCCTGCTCCTAAGTCTTATGCACTTATGTTCTTATGTAAGCACTAGTTTTAATACTACATCTAACAGTCGATAGTCAGTGCTGGATCTACATTGACTAATGTAACATACTTGCTTTAAGTATGCTACATACATAACTTTAATAGTGTTTCACTTCAATTCGATAAAACTTGGTCCATTTCTAAATCGAGTTTGACATCACAATACCATAGCAATAACTCTATAACTCTAAACCCCATCTCTATGTTTGTCACACACTGTAATCAACTGTATCAATTATTTACTCAAACAACATGCAAAAATAAAAGCTCAAGAGTTTTATTTCTCCAAGAATACCCAATGTTTTACATAAAGTGAATGGACAAATTATATTGACATTCTACAACCAGAAAGAGATGAAAGTTTCAAGAAATTGTTATTAAAATGTATTTCTATTGATAGTTCATGCATCAAAATGTCTTTAAGAGAATAAATAATGGCTACCTTAGACTTTGGAAAAGAGCACTCACACATTCATCATTCATTTCATATCCACATCAGTTAAACAGAAATAAAAAAGAGCCTCCTATTTTGTTATTAATAAGCAAATAGTTTTCCTCAATGACATACATCCCTTTGTTAGACCCTCAAATTGCTTAATGTTGAAATTTACAAAGGAAAGCTAATATTTCCCATTAAGATTTATTACATTTCATTTATCTTTCTGATGGAAACTGTAATATTACTGTAATCCATTTACAAGTGGCAAGCCAACAGGTTCCTACAGTCAGAATGAATCAGATGCCAAGTTCAGAGTTGGCTTTCCTTCCATGAGGTAAAGTCCAGCAGCATTTTATTTCAACTTTAAATGATAAAGACAAATTTTACAAACACATGCCCTCAGTGTAAAAGAATTATCTTGAGTTCACAGCATTTTGATGTACAGAGATGGTAGAATTATTAAGCTGTAAGCTTTTAAACTTTCTCTGCTATAAACAAAATATATTAGTAGCATTATAAAGTTTGACAGTAAATATTGATGAAATAAATATCAGGTTAGCAATTTACTACACTGAGGAATGAATTCAATCAGCTGCAATTTAACTTTATACTTCTTAAAAGATGTAAATAAATAGCATTGCTCAAACTATAAGCTAATGTTCAACCAGCTTTCAGTATTGCCCATTGTCTTAAATCAATCATTATTTTCTTTAATTATGATAAAGTTCTCATGTTTCTTCAAAATGTTACATTCTTTTGTGACATCCAGTTCTCTGGAATCCTTTAAATATATTTTTCCAAGCATGAATTATTCATGTCTGGACTTTGACAGGTTGTCTGACAATGCAAGAAGCATCATAGCTCACATCTTCACCTAACACCTATACATCTGTACTGTTGTGATGCCAGCTGATGTTATTACTGGACATGTCGGTTCTCAGACTTAGCCAAACTCTTCTAGTCTGGAATTTTAAACTGCACTCCTTAAACTATTTCTTAAACATACTAAACTATCTCCCCTTAGAAACAACAGTTATCCACATCCAGGTTCATACAAGTCGCCCACAAAATTGAAATCCAAAAGCTTTTTTCCAAACTAAAGGTGTTTCCCCTAATCAGAAGGGAACAACAAAGAAAAAATCAATCTCGGATCTTCTAAACTGAAAGCCTAATGCAGAGCTGTTTACTTTGCTCACTGGTAAAAACTCCAATGTGAACAAATTTGCATTAGCCTCCAAGAACTCTCTCAAGCTGTTCTTTCTTCGAAAGAAATTACAAGCTAAACATTAAACCCCTTTAGACTCACAGATCAAAATCTATATTCCACTAGCTCAAATCCAATTTGGAAAATAACTTAATTAAAACATATATAAATCACATACCTTTCATAACAGTTCTCCGGAAAGAAGAATGTGAATGTATCTTTAAGAGTATTTTAATTCCCCATCAAAATTATCTTACCATTACTTCTATCTCACACTAACAGTAGTACCATATTGACATTAAACATACAATGTGTTACACAGCAACCATATTGTACATAAATACGTACACCCCACATCACACAGGGTCTTTCATATGCATTCTCGATAGAGCATCTGCTATATCATTTTCTTTTCCAGGTACATTAATGATTTTCAGTTATATGGTTGGAGAATTAAGCTTCAAATTAATTGTAAATTTTTGTCCTGAAAATTTTCCAAAAAATAGGATTGTGGTCCATAATTGTTTAATAACAGTTTCTTCCACATTGTTGGAGATGTAAATCTCAGTGATGTGAGCTGTCACAAACGTCTCCGTTCCACTGTAGAGTATTTTGCCGACATGCAGTCAGTTTCTTTGAAAAATAACTGACAGGTTGTTCAATCTCTATTTTATCATCTTGCAGTAAAACTGTTCCCACACTGATGTCATTGGCATTAATGGCCAATTTGAGTGGTTTCCTTTAATGTGGCATGGTTAAAAGCAGTGTTGTGATCAGTACAGCTTTCAACTTTTCAAAGGCAATTTGACACTCTTGCATTCGTTGAAATCTTCTGACATTTTGAAAAAAAATTTAAAAATTGTCAAAAGTGCTGAATTTCATGATAACTTTGACAAAACCTACTCACGCCAACAATAACACAAAATTTTACATTTTATCCCAGGCACAGGAAGATCCAAAAAAGCCAGTGCTTTCACTTCTCTCAGTGTGACTTGTATGTAAGTGACTTGACTCCCAAATATGGTCCAAATAAGTCATCTCTATTTTGGGAAATTCACTCTTAGTGGGAATTATAACCAAATTGGCTTTTTATAACCACTCAATTTCTTCCCAGTTTTGCTAAAAGCAACCAAACATTTATGTAAGCACAAACAAAAACAGAAATTGTTGGGAAAGCTCAGGAGGTCTGGCAGCATCTATGGAGAGAAATCAGAGTTAACGTTTCAGGTCCAGTGATCCTTCCGGTTCTGAGGAAAGACTCAACCCGAAATGTTAACTCTGATTTCTCTCCACAAAGCTGCCAGACGTGCTGAGCTTTTCCAGTAATTTCTGTTTTTGTCTCTGATTTACAGCATCCTCCATTCTTTAATTTTTAATGTAAACACAGTTACATAATAGTTTAATGACTTTATTGGTTATTCCTTGGAACTTTGCTGGTGCATTTTCCATTCCAAATGCTATGACTTTGTACTGATAAGGTCCAACCAGAGTTACAAAAGCCAATATTTCTTTGGCTCTATCTGTCAAAATAACTTGCCAATATCCTTTCAGCAATCCAATTTTTGTTACAAGTCGTGCATTTTCATTTAGTTCAGTGCAATCTTTTAAATTTCAGAAGAGGGTATGGGCCTGTTTTTGTTATCATATTCACTGCGATAATCAATATACAATCGGTTTTAACCATCTTGTTTTTGCACTATCGCAATAAGACGAGCTCCAGCTACTGTTACCCATCTCAACAATGTCATTGTCCATCATGAACTTAATCTCTTCTCTCACTGGAGATATTTTCTGTGGACTGAGTCTGTGAAGGAGCTGTTTTGCAGATAACACATCCCCCACATTAATGTTAAGAACTGCCAAAACTGGTTTTCCTGGCCTATTACCACAAATTAGTTTAGAATTCTGTAGTAGCCTTTGTAAGCCACTTCAATAGCTATCTCAAAGATAAATTGCATCTTAACTTTTTAAGCGCCTCCCTGTTTTCCAATCTGATTGTTGGAGGATCAATTTTTGAATTTTCAATTTCTGATTTATCCTTCAGTTCTTCTGTTTTTATTTCACTCTTTACTTTTTCACTGTTATAAGTACATCTGTCTCTTGACTATTGTCCCCGTCATAAAATCTCTTCAACGTGTTCATGTCACCTACTTGTTTCTTTCTAAATGGAGTACTCACTAGATATTTCACATCAAACTGATGTCCAGTAAACCTTGCATTTAATAGTACACCAGAATCAGGGAATAATACTCAATCTGAAGTCTCCTGTAACAAAATTTTGAATTTCAGCCTTTTTTCGGCTAGAGTTTTCATTGTCTGTTGAGCTCCTTTCAAATGCTTTTAGCTAACTCATATGCTTTGCTCAGGTTTGCTCCGAAACTTGAAATGCAGGTTGTAAGCATAGCTTCTGAGCTTTGGTTTAACCATTTTTCTTTAATCAAGTTAAGTGGTCCTCTCACTTCATATTTCCATATACTATTTCAAAAAGGGCTAAATTCTGTGGATGTATAGGGACATTCATAATGGCTCTTACTCTATTTGCAGCACTATGTTGTGGAAGACACAGCAGACCATCAACATTTTGGACACTTTGTTGGTCCATACTAAGTAGCATCCCCAAATCTGCACAAGAACCAGAATTGCATCTTTAGCTCCCCAGTAACTTCAGAACGATCACTCATGCACATGGCTCTTCTGTGTCAGTATCAAGGGTTCTCAGTCACAGGTGTTATCGGTCACCTTTTTAAATGATAGCCTTGTCTCGAAGGAGCTATCTCCTGACTTCACGCAGAGATGTAATCAGTGTATTATCAAGATATCACAGAAACCTCTAGGATAAATTGGACACATATTAAGAAAACCTCCTAGTGATCACACTCCAACTGAACCTGTTGGAATTGAACCCACTTTCTTCGTAGCAAAAAGGAATTGGCAACCCTGGCAAACATGGGATCGGTCATCTGGGAAATGCACTTGCACACGGTAGATTATGAAATCTTGCAGGTGTTATCTCCTGGATGCTCGTTGGGATCGAGGGTAAAGAAATTGGGGCTGTGGTGATTTTGACTGCCAATAGTAATGCATGTACATTGTTTGAGGAGGCCACGGACATAAGCAAAAGCTTGCCACAAAAGTGTCTGAGTTTCCGAGGTACTGTCGTTCAAGCATGTTGAGAAAGTTATGCCTCTATTCTCTGTTAGGTTATTGCTCTGTCATCTGGAGTGGCAGGTTTTTGAGGAGAAGGCAGCTGCTGCTGGTGTTGGTCCTGATGTTTGCTGCTCTTATTCTTCATCAGAAAGAGCTGCACCAACTGCACCCATGCTGACAGCAAGAAAATGCAGATCAAGAGGGGAAAGGATTGAAGAAACAGACCCAATTTCCAGAAGGTTGGAAATTATCTCTAGAGATTGGAACGCACTGTCAGAACAGGTCATGTGAACAAAGGCCTTTTACTCAGACAAACAAGTCGCTGTACTGTTTGAATACAGTATTTAAAGCCTCTCCAGCCTTTCAGTTTCATAGAATCATCAGTTCTCCTGTGCTGTCTCACCTTATTTCAGGAAGCTTAGTCTAAACCAAAATGTAGTGGGTTAAATATGCATCCGGTTGTTTTTCCACATGTTTAAAAATTCACTCAGGGGTTATTCGGACACCTCCAAAAACGTACCCGTCATATGCCCCAATAAGTGGGATCGTGTAGATTTCCGACATGTCATAATTTTTCTAAGTTTTAAACCCCAATCCCTCACAAGCACGGGTAACTAGCCGCCACTATAATTCTACCCTTTAATCCTGGTTCTCGCTGCATAGATGCGGTAACTAACATATTTAATTTTTTACTTTCCAGAACCACAGTGTTTACTTTTGTTATTATTTAGCTGAACTGTATAAATATACAAGCATAACAAACTATAACGTCCATAAAGAATCCAGAATTAAGACACTCCAGCGATTTTCAAATATTGCAAAAACCCACGCGAACACATAAAGATTAGTTCCCGACACCCACGTGGTATTAACTCCCCTGAAACTGCATTAAACCTTGATGCCGCATAAATGCAAGAGAAAGGAAAGCATCCAGGTCCAGTTCAATATCTTCCTTCTGACTTTATTTGAAATTGAATTACGAAAGTGTTACAAGTTATGTTGCGATTATAAGATTCAGCAAGCCAATAATCATGCGCTCTCTACTAACAGTGCATTGAAGCTGTTGAGTATGTATTCTGAAATTCCAAAAATATTTAAAGTAACTGGGTTATTAGTACAGGTCTTAACAAACTACTTATAAGGACTTACTGTCTTGAGATCATCACTGAAACAAGCCTCAGCCTTTTCCATGTAAGCCAAAGTGTTTTTTGCAGAAGTAAATCAGTGTCCTCATCTGTTGCCCTGTGTTCCCACAATGTGATCAGAACCAACTGGAACTGCAGATACCGAAGCCTGTCGTGTCGTCATCAGCACCAATGCCAATCACATAGCGACGTTCAGAGCCCTAGTAACAAGATCACATGAACATAAACATAGATCGCAATGCAACTGGAGAAGGGAATCAGACTTAATGCCTTATGTCTGACAGAAGAACCATAACAGAATTGTCGTAGGGGGTCAAATTTATTGCTAAAATCTCATTGGGATAGTCAGAGTTTGGATGACATCTCATTAGAAATTACACCATTCAGACATGTGGCTTCGTGACAATACAAGGAAATTTATAGTAAAAACATTCCTTCAAATCGTCACAATGGGCAGTAATAGACTAATATAGGTACACAGACATCGGAGATCTCCTGCTTAATAAAACAAAATCACGGACGTTCTGAAACAAGTACCTTTCCTGTACAGAAACAAAGTTATACAATAAAACACCTGTATTTATTATTGCTGCTTTACTTAATTTGAAACTTGGTGCCGGAACAAAGGAGCTCTTGCACGTGGTTAAAAAATCAGCAGCAAATTCGTACAGAGCAAGATCCCGCAACAGAAAACCATCGGATGGATTACCAAACGTGATGAACACCGAAGCCATATACTTATATATCCCAAAGTAAAATGGTGTAATCTACATATTAAAG